GCTGCACCACCCCTCAGGACGACCAGGTTGAGTGCTGTTTTTGGTAGCATAAATTAATGTGGCAATATTCACAAGTATCACAAATAATTTTGTTAACAGGGAGCTCCTCATATTTCATACTGTCTATTTATCACTTCCCGACCTTATTTATAATGGTTTGTTTCACTTGACCAGGCCATAGTAGCTGCTCAGCAGGATTACAGGGCTGCCAACATACGGCTGGAACAACTCGCCTTTCCCAATACCTATCGTCACTGGTCTCAAATTGTTCACACTTCAGTATGCACCGATACTTTTTGTTGCGAGTGTACGTGCACAATTTTTTGTATATACGTGTTTTGTCAGAATGTTTGTATAAATGAACCCGTAAAACAGATAATGGACACTTTATAAAATTAAGATAAATTTAAAACAACAAACTTTTAAACAGGAGAAAACAAATACTCTATAACCAACACCTCAGAAATAACGTCACTAACACACAGGACTGCTGCTTTACATGACCCTCTATGTAATGTATATGAGAATCGAGGGTTAGCTTCATTTACCGACTCACCTGTCAAGTTCGCGAAATTCGAAGACTGGGTCAATTTGGTAGCTAGGGACCCTAAAAGATGCACATACACAACTCTGCGCATTGTCATTAAACCTACGAAGTTTCGAGTTAGTCCACCTGAAGATGAAAGACGAGCTGTGTTGACAAATTTCACTATACGCCCACATGGTATGGATCATGAAAATACTTCTTAGACAAAACTAGCCGAGGGGGCGAGGTAAAGATACACAGAGAAGTAATGCTGGTTTACAGACAAAAATATAAGCCGGATCAGAATGTACGAAAAATAACAATGTAATACTGTAATTGCAGACATTTAACGCAATCTAGCCAAATAAATCTGATCTAAATCAGTCTTAAGTAACCGACATGTACAAAAAAATTTCAGTGTAACCATTGTGGTTGCGTATACAATATGGTGTCGTAGTATGAACATTCATGCACAGTACTTCTCACACTTCAATCCTATTGCGTATGGATTTCGGTATGGAAAACCTGACAGGTTTCTTCATTATACAAACTCGGGCAGGTGGTCATGCGGGCAACCTATAAGGAAGGCAGACAGCCAACCCAAATGCCCCCCTTGGCCATGGAAGGTCGATCACAGGCCAAGTATTTCCGCTCCTCTTCCTCCATGTTCAATGTCACGTATTTCTTCTTCCCGTCCACCACACGCCGAATATCAACCAATACGAAACCACTTTCGAGATCCTCCTCTGTCCCGATTGGATAAGACAGATTTCTAGTTCATTTTTCCATTCTACAACGCATTAAACAGCATCCAATGAAAAATCACCTTTGAGTACCTCCTCTGTTCCGATTGGGTGATAGCATCTCAGCAAAGTTGATATTGACCTACATCCTTCCTCCGGCGGGGCCTCACTTTCACCTACCTCGTGTTGGGAGGGAGCCACATTTCTCAGACACGTACGTCAATTATTTTCTCCTACCAGAGCAGCTGAGATCTTAATTACTTACAATAGTCTGAGTATAGTTTTGATATCTTTTGAGTCGTCATTGTACATAAGTTTGAAATAGTTAGGTAAATAAATTCTCAATCCAAGCTAGAGGGAAAAAATAATGTACAACACGTTGAGAACACATTGACAGGGATTCACAAGGTCGCCACTGGATGGTGTTGGTGCCCGCGTGACGATCCATTCATTACCCGCCATAATCTACGAATTTACCTCGGTGTTCCCATTTGGAATACGAAAGTATCATTGAGATAATATTTGATATCGGTAGTACTATCCTCAAACAAGGAGATGGCAACTCCACAAATAATTATAGGCCGGTGAGCTAGACCAGCATTATACAAGAAGCTGTGATGAAACGGTTCCTTGTCAATTCAACCTATGGTCAACCCAACCGTCTTTCAACTTAACTCACTGCCAATTCGAATCCCGGTCAACTGAACCACAGGTCAACTCGACCCTTGTCAACTTAACCCCTCGGTCAACTCAACTCCCCCATAAATTCAATTACCCTGTATATATATATATATATATATATATATATATATATATATATATATATATATATATATATATATATATATATAAAATACATTTTTTTTAGCTGAAGGTATAAGCCCCGCTCCCCTTGCAGCCCATACAATCATAATGTTCGATTAATATTGATATATCGCATATAAATCCAAACACTGTATAACTGTTATGGCTCACTTTAATGCCAAATTTCATGTATGGAAAGATATTGCTTGAAAACTCTAATGTTCAATATGTGAGTGGAAATGTTTTTGAAATAAAGAACATTTACAATTGAAGTTAAACAAATTTACGCTTTTGAACACAGGCGAAATAAATCCTTCTCTTTTCAATAATTAATATGTATATCAAGACACTGACACGGTAAATTTGTATAAGTGCACCCAACTGTTAGAAAGTAAAAAAAAAAATTCTAGTGCATTTGTGTTTGAATCGGATATGGCCTTCATTTCCGTCGGAAAATGGCCGGGTTTTTTTATTGATTTTTTTTTTGGGTGGGGCGTTTTCTAAAAAAAATCGCTAAGCGAATGCAAAAAAAAACACTAGAAAAACATAAACCTGACCTGACCTGACCTCACCTAATCTAACTGACTCTCAACATATGATGGAATCACTTATTTCTTACCTTATTGGCCTGGTTCTCGTTCGTCGTTGGAGTTACCACAATGCCACATATGTTGGTCTTGATATTTACATTCATTCTTGCACTTAGGACACCTTACTGAGGTCGGGAGAACACCATAAGATCGAGAAAATGCTGTAGTTTCTTCGTTTTTTCCCCCCAAACTCGCAATCAGCTCCATATAATTGAAGAGATGCCCATCGCAGACTTCCATGGTCGGAAATTAATTTTGACTGGCCGCGTGACGTGTACGGGAACACATACGCGTGATGATTTATGAAGGAGACTCAGTGTGGGAGGTGAGGTAGGCGATAATGGTGGAATATTAATGGAAGAAAATAAAGAAAATTTTGGATACGTTATCTCCGTTATTATACATTTGCGACGGTAATATAATACAGTAAAATTATCTTATAATTAGACTTCTTATTCGAATATGATAATAGATTAGGGGTAGGAATGTTGGGTGTGGAAATACAATAATACCGTTGAAGAAGCCACAAGTTCAGAAGACTGTCAAGGCAAACTTTCTTGGAGTGAGGGTTGTGTATTTAAAACAATCTACCAGAGTGTGTTGTGACGACACAATGTGAGCTGATTCAAGACCAGACTTGACCAACACTGGCGCAGGTACAGTACATATACATTATGGAGCCAGTACCAGTGCCGGATTTAGACCTGTGGAGGCCCATGGGCAGCCTCTTTGTGGAGGCCCCCCTCATTATAATTACCCAAGAGGGTGGGGTGGCGAGTGAAGCGAGCCTAAACACTGGGGGTTCCTAGGGGGGCGTTGTAAGCCCCCCCCCCCGGGAAAATTTTGAAATTTGAACACTTCTTTGGAGAATTTTGAAGCCATATGACAATTCTCTCTCATTTTCATCTGCAAGACATGTTTATGTCTACTCGTGGGAAGTTCACGAATCATGGGCGACGCAAGTCTCTCTTTAATCGACAGACACATGACAACCCATGTGCAGACACCACACGACCCAACCCCCGCCGACCACTGTCAACACACAGCCCCTGATGGTGTTCATAATGGAAGTGATAATGAACAAAATATTTTATTTGTTTTGTTTTTTTTAATCTCAATTTCTTTATTCCATGTAGTTCATTTTTAATCAATATATGTTTGTGGAATTCTAAATATATTATTAGCAACACAAACAATAGCATTCATTAAAAATATACGGTTCATAGGAAAACCAGGTATTTATGAATTTCAAGGAGTAGCGAGCCTAATTTCTATCACGCTTCTTGCTGAACATACATGTAGTTTTACGTGATGGAATAGATAAACATGAATTTTAAAGAATGAACATAAAAATAATCCAAATGAATAAACAAATAAATAAAATATTGTAATATGTGGAGGCCCCCAGATTGTGAAGGCCCCTGGGCAGCTGTCCACTTTGCCCACTCCTGAATCCGGCCCTGGCCAGTACATGCCAAGTACTTCCCAGCAGTTCATAACAGATATGACCGACTGTCCAGGCGACTAACAAACCGATCGATAGTGGCGAAGAGGTTAAAGTAAAGAAGCATTATGCCTATCTCTTACCATTCATTGCCTTGGGTTCAATTCGCGACGCCAGCTCGGGACATGAAAAAAGGGTGTTTATCCAGTATGACCTTAACAAACATCACAGGTTTTCTCCGAGTTCTCGAGTTTCCTCCTGTACTAACACGACAATAAATTTCAAAGCAAAGTAACGACTCAGTTGATAAATAGTAAAATGATAAATATTCCATTGTTCTCGTTTGGTAATTCGTTGATTACCAAATGTATGATCACACGGAAGATGAACGGTATATTAGGTATAAAATAAGATCAGTGAATTTCTTTAAAATACAAAATTTATAATGAGTAACATCTCTTGACCGCTAAGAGTATCAGAGATAATATTTTATGACATGATAAGAAAAGTATTTAACCCGCGGTACATACGTGTAGGAATACCAACCAAACACCGAGATACTATCCCAGCCTTTTGATGTTTCTCATATAATGTTCTTTGAGCTCTTGAGGATACACAAAATATATATTTGACAATTAATTTAGTTGTTTACACTCATCTCGAAATGTATCAGTAATTTTTATATATAAATAAAGAAATCTTAATTGATGATTGTACTGTAATTTAATTGACTAGTTCCAGTAATTCTTGCGGTACTCATTACATACATATGTAATGTATTATTTACAATGGAATTTTAAATTTATAAGTTAATCTTCTTTTCTTAGTGAAATGCGTTCTTTATAAAGTGAAAAATTAGTTTTATGATAAGCTGTTGGTATCCCTTATCGCTATTTCCGAGGATGATGTTTGAGCGAGTGAGACAAGTGAGAGAAGAGGGTGTGTCCGCTAACTGTCCACTAACATGTCCAAAGCAGCCAGGAAAGTGATAGATGAGGCCAGGGAGTCGAGGAATCCTGAACTTGACCTGCAGGACAAGCAGATAACGTCATTGGAGGAAATACCTGGCCTGTGTAAGTAATAAAGTGAAGTGTAGAGGAACAGGTGCACGTCTCTTGCCCACACAATTTTTGCTTTTAGCTTCACCACTGCTCTAATTTACCAGTATATTTAAAAACAAGGTAAATATATGTTTAATGGCTGTGGCTCCTTTATTTTATGAGAATTGTTTTTTTTTAGGTGTATGTAGGTGTTTTACTCAAATCTGACCTAAATACACACAAAAAAAACTTTAATCATGATAATTTAAACTTCCAAATGTATGTTGAAACCTAACTTAACCAAATACGAAAATCGTGCCATAGCCATTAAACGAATATTAACCAAAAACAATGATGAAAAAAATATATAGGCAACCAAGCTTAATTTTTTGTAAATACATGTTAAAAATTAGCCTTTTCCTCCAGATAATGTAACTAGGTTTGGTAAATTTGCATTTTCAGCCCCAGCTACTGTTCGACTATAAATTTTTGTTTTCCCCATGGTATTTGGTCTGATTCATATGAATTTGATCTTTATTACCATTATAAATGAGTAGTTACTGAGTTAAACCCCCCCCCCTCCCACCCAAATTGCTATAATCGAGTTGAGGCTGAAACTGCAATAATATGGAGGTTCGAAGTACTGTATGCTATTTTTGACAGTTTATATTCTAAAATTGATGCTGTATGTATACTGCAAAGAAAACTACACTTATAGACCAAAAAGTTAAATTCTCTCGGCTTTTTATTCAAAATTTGGGGAATACTGTATTGTAGTTGTTCGATTCCTCCCTCTTCCTTTTGGGATACTGAAGTGAACCGGATTAGATGCGATAGTCCATTTGGTGTCTTACTATCAGTAGCAAACAAAAATAGATTTAAGCATATGTGTACAGTATATGATTAACAGCAAAATTTTTTCAACCTTCTCCCTTTTTCGGATACAGTTTCTTCATTCTAAATGTTTCCTTTAGGAATCAAGTAAAGCATGAAAAAGAATCTAGTTTTATAAAATGTTAAATTTTTGGATGTAATTCATGGCAAGTTTGGGCTCTGAAACCTGTGGATTCACCATGCTTTGCTTGACTGACTGTAAAGAGTTGCTCATACTGACTCGGTCGGGACTTGGGAATTTCAATTTCAGAATTGATGCCCAAATTTTGTTTTCCAAACCTCTTCCTGCAATGTTGCAAGGTGGCTAGATTGGTGTTTATCTGATTCTCATCATTCAGTTACTGGAGGATTAGGCAGTTTGAAAACTTGTTTTATGGGGAAAATTATTCTATATATCAGGCACATGGGAATTATAGGGAGGGGACCATTGAATTGACACTCATTAATGTGTATTGTTACAGTGTCATTGGAGCACATCACTCGCCTCTCTCTACCGCACAACCGCCTGACGATGATTCCCCCTGCCATTGCTAACCTTGTCAATTTGGAAATCCTGAACCTCTTCAACAACATAATTGAGGAACTCCCCACATCCATCTCTTCACTTAACAAGCTGCGCATCTTAAATGTGGGGTATGTTATAATGTTTACCATTAACTACATGACTCAGAGAAGAAATTAAATCAATATTGTTCAAGTATTTTGTTTTGATACTGTACCATAGCTGTATCTTAAATTTATAATACTCTGAAACCCTACCTTTCAGTAGATTATTTTCTTTATTCATAAGGCACACTAACACATTGAAATGACTTTTCCACAAAATCTCTGGTTACTTAACATATGACAATGGCATTAGCACTCAGTTGTGTGAGAAGCAGGCAGTTCTCGGGTTGTTAATTTCTGTGGTTCTGCACTGGTTTGGTCCCAAGGGTGCTGGACTAGAGAGTTTCAATCTCGACTAGAAAAGTTATTATATTAATGACTAGTTATGTTATTGAACAGATTTAATGTTATTTAAAGATATGGCTGATTTTGTCATGACAAAGGTTTAATAAAAATAAGGAATACATAAAATTTGACCAAATTCATACCGGTACCTCAAACAAAATTATATAATTACCTGTGTATTATGAGACCGCATTATTTAGTGTAAAATATGCTGGTATGTTAGATTACTAACTTGTGTAAGTAAAAAACATGTTATTGACCACAGAGAATACTTCACCATTTACAGCTTCAAGTGTTCAATAATGCTTGAGTGTTATATGTTACATTCCTCAGGATGAACCGTTTGGATGCCCTCCCTCGAGGATTTGGTTCCTTCCCAGTATTAGAGGTTTTGGATTTCACATACAACAATATATCTGAAGGAGAGTCACTTCCTGGCAACTTCTTCATGCTGGGTAAATTTTTAACTTATCTGGCATTACTGTTTTTGTCATTGTTCATTTCAGTTTTTGCATATAGTACAGGTAGCTTAGTAGCCTTAAAAGAATTAATTACAGCTGGTCACAGTGCTCTTCATTTTATGTCTTCAATGAATGAAGAAATGGGATTGAACAGAAGTTTATTAAATAAGATGTTTAGCTTTAGTGTAATCATTTAGAAAGATGTTTATTATGACATTTTATAAACACTTTTTTTTATAATGCTTATTGAAAACATTGAAATCAAAATTACTAGACTCCTATTTGTGTGTATTTAGAATCTATAGATGAATTGTATGGGGTATAATTCGTTTGGACCATTATTATTTTAATGAGTACAGTTCGGTAGTGTCACAAATCTGAAATACCATACAGTGAGAAACCGGAAACTTTTTATATGCGGAGTATTGTACTACAGTACTGTACATAATTATATTTCAATTACTGGTTAACTAATTGCAATAGAATAATCAGAAATTTAACATAAATTTCAGAATCCCTGAGAGCCCTCTACATGGGTGACAATGACTTTGAGGTGTTATCTCCTGAGATCAAGAATCTAAGAAACTTGCAGATTGTAAGTACTGTATAGTAGTAATGTTATTAACTGTCTGGCAGTTATTAACACAATATATAAAGAATGTACCGATGCAAAGTAATGGTAGGATTTTCTTGGGGTAATAATTTGTATTAATTTTATTCTGCATCTGTGCAGTGAATGCTAAGTAAAAAATGATTGCAATATTATTACAGTCAGTACCTGCTCAATGTACATGTTAGAGTTCATGAAAGCCTGTTTGTTAAGTGGATATTAATTTCCCTTCGAAACTCATCTTATAAATTGAGATTTGTTCCAGAACACTCCTCCCAAGTTGCCTCTAATGTACTAATAGAATGATGGAATATGGGCATGTAAACTTAGAACAGTGAATATATGTTTCTTAAGTTGAATTATCATATCCACTTGCATACATGTACTGGATTTAGGGACGACAGTACTTTAGTTATAGATAAGAGAAATTATCTTTTCATTTTCTCAATAATACCACTACAGTACAGTACATAGAAAGTTGCAGAAATTTTCTGACTACTTGCGCCAGCCTTCACATGTTTCATAGTTTGTTCTTTACCTTTCACAGTTATTTATTATTGAACAGGCCAAACAAAGTATATGCTCTCAACCCTCTCATCTGTCTCTACTAATTTAATTTTTTCTCAATACCAACAGATGCAACAGCATCTTCGTTATTCTATTTTCTCTTTGCTCATAGTTCTGTAAGGTATACATACAGGCATCCCTCGATAAACAATCGGTTTGCTTTCATAAAAACCTGATTGTTAAGTGAACGATTGCATATCGAACATATTTTAGCATATCATTTGAGTTACAGTACTTTCCAGAGCACTCACAGGAATGAGATATTTCCGGGTAACGAGATGACTCAAGGCCGGAAAAAATCCCTCATCCCCAAAATTTTCCGGGTAACGGAAATTTTTTTTCTAAAGTTCCAGAAATTGCCCATTACGTCATCTCTTGAACCTGGGAATTGTAATTAACCTCACATTCACATTTTCCTCAATGATTTCAAAACTACATTGAATAATCTAAGTTACCAGGGTATGGTCACTGAGCCTTATTCATTGACTTACTACTGATATGAAGTACTACTCTGATGGAATCAGTCGATTCATAGAAATGCTGAAATGAACAAATGGGATTAAGTAGATAGGTAGTATAGAGGTAATGATTCACGGTAACTTTGAAATATACTCGTATGCTATAAGAGCCATTTAATTATACAGTTTTACTTTCGTAATATAACCGGGAATACATGGATAAGTTGTCTCTCAATGTAATGCACCTCATGATGGAATGACCCTACAGCAGGACAAAGGCAGTTTATCCTATATCATCATTTGGCCTACCTGCATCATGAGCTCAAGAGGACGGTATCTGTTGATGAGTACACTACTGTATAGTGAATACAGTAGTGTAATTTGTTTATTCACAATAGATTTTACATAAATAAATACTGTACTGCTCTATGTCTGTCCGTGTGAGATGCATAATTTAGACTCTGGGAAAACTTTTCCCAGTACCCAGAAAAATTATGGGATATGTGAATTTTTCTAGGCATGAGAAATTTTGTCTCCATACCCTTAAATCTCAATATCCCAGAACACTGCATCAATTAGTCTGGCAAATGGGATATCACTTATGCAGAGGTATGTACAACAGATGTATGTTTAGTGGGCACTGACTATACTCCTTGTGACATGAGGAAATTGTACAAAATCAAGAAAAAATTTAGTTAAATAGATGAAGACTACTGCTGTACAGTAGTTTAATAAGATTTTCATGCTGTATTTTTATAAGATGCAGTAATAGTTAAAGGAATTAATATTACCAAAGGACTCGGTACATGTTGTATTCAGGTCTGTTTTTTTCCAGTTAAGTCTACGGGATAATGATCTGATCACCTTGCCACGTGAGATTGGTGAGCTGACTCGCTTGCGTGAATTGCATGTTCAGGGTAATAGACTGCAAGTCATCCCACCTGAAATCGGTAAGGCTTTTAATGTTTATGTGCTTTGTGAAAGACTACCACACTTTAGGAAATATTATATTGCTGATATAGTTAGAATTTATTTTTCTAACAAAATATAATACAGTTGGGTCTCACATTACGCGGTTAATGTAACCCGGAGGGTACCGCGGAAAGTGAGGAACGCGTAAAGTGAACAACATAACATATGGGATTAATTGAAATGGAGTCCAGGCCGATCCCCAAACTCCACTTTTTGACGACACACAACTATGTTGTAGTAAAAATATTATCTTAACTTTATGATGGCATGCACACACAATTAATAATTAAGAGAAATATCAATAATATTAGGTTTTTTAACACTTACATTAGTAGAAAAGATGGCTGGGCACACGGGGATGGGGGGTTGGTTCCGAGGCAGAGGGCAGATTATTGGCCCTCACCTGTATCACTGGTATCAATTGTATCACTATCCACCACAGAGGCTTGCAGGGCCTCTTTGTTAAACCCCTCAAAGTCCATATAAGTCCATATCCTCACTATAATTATCACTATCACTGACTTGGGCCGGTTGTGGTGGGTGGCGGGTAAAGAACTCGGTAATGTTTTGATGACTAGGCGACCTTGTGCGCACCATTTTCGCGCCTCTTACACAACATGGCGGATGGCGGGAGGTTTGGATCCAAAAATGGCGCGGCTTGCCAGCCGCTCTCCGCGTAATGGGGTTCACGACCGCGGAATGTGAGCATGTTAGGTTCTGGCAAGGCACCGCGTTAACGGTGAAACGCGGAATGCGGGACCGCGTAATGTGAGGATTGACTGTATAATTTTATAAGATTAAAAGAATTTTAAAGTTTTGTTTAAACTTAAAAAAATTTATAGGTCAGTTAGACTTGTTGGGGAGTCGATGCTGTCTTCGCCTGGAGTGCAATCCATGGGTGCCAATGATAGCTGACCAGCTGCTCCTTGGACCTTCACATGTCATGGACCTTCTTCGCAATGATTCTTACAAGTTGTGAGTAAAATCAACAGCATTATTGAAAAGGTTTTAGTATGTAGGGGAAAGTTACATAGATGAGATGTTTAAATGATCTTGTAAGTTAAAGGAGAAAATTTTGAAGGAGTAGGATTGCTAGGAAGAATTAAATGATCAGTGAGTTAACCTGAAATGCAAAAAAAAAAAAGAAAAAATAGAAAGGAATGGAGAAGGAAGAGGCAAAAAGGTACAGGGTGTGTATCTGTGGGAAGTGAACATAATATATATTGAGGCAGTGAGTTGTAACTGCGAACAGCTGCACACTCGCTCCCCCATGGCATACACAGCCAGCAATGACACGTCATGGATGTACTGTACCAATAAATGTGAGGAATAAATTAGTTATATATATATATATATATATATATATATATATATATTTTGTTGATAAGATGTAAACTTTGTGTTTCATACTGTTTCAAATCTCGTCCGATTTCTCGTATGTACAGATATAACATTATCACTGTAGAATACTGCATGTATTTCTTTTGATATGATTTTATTTGCATATAGTCATGTGGAGTACAGCAAAAAAAAAAGGAAGAAAAAGAACACGTTTTGCAGCATTTAAATTTTTTTTTCTCATATGCATTTATCTCGGCATTTAGAATAGATGTACATGGGAAAGTGTGTTATTTAAAAAAAATCCATTTATGATAGATTTTTCACTAACAGAACTCTCCTAAATCAGAGAATGCTTTTTTTTTTTTGCAGTGAGAATAATATAAATTGGAAAAATTTATTGAATTATCTGAAAATATCAAATACAGTACAGTACAAAGAATTGAATATCAAAACATTTCTCCAGAATTTAATCTGTTTAAACTATAAACAATTGTTTATAATAAAAAAATAAACTGGTAAAAGTGATTTTAGCTCCACCTTGTGTTATATGGTATACAGTATAGATTCTTTTTTTGTTGTGTAGCATATACAGTACTGTACTAAATTTTTCTTCTTCTTCGACAGTGTTTACCAGAGACATATCCAGAATGAGAGTCAAGCACCACCAAAAAATTTTGAGGCAAAGAATAGAAAGATCTCCCGCAAACGTGAAACTGCATAGTGTGACAAGGATGACAAAAAAAGTGACCTTAAATTAATACTGTAATTACAGTAAAATACTTCAGAATTATTTTAATATGTCTTGCAGTTTGTATTACTATAGATAATTTTCTAGTCTGTGGTCTTTATTAATCCACTAAAAGCTGTGTTCATTTTTCTTACTGTTATAGTGCTTCCTCCAATAAAGCTGTCTAATTATGCAGTAAAATATTATTTTCTTGATTCCTTGCATACTCTTTTCAGTGGCATATTTACAGTAAAATTAAGTGAGAGGTAGCTAGTCTGTTTGATTTTAACAACTACCTCTTGCTTCATTGATTATTTCATGGTATGCTTTTCAATTTAAACTGTCACTAAATCACCTATGAAAGCCAGAGGATTCACCAAAGGGCTGTTTTATTCATATTACAAATTAAAATCTACATGTGAATGCTTAAAAAATCTATGAATATCATTTATAACAAAAATAAAGAGAAAAAGGCAGAGTAAAACTAGCTGTTCCAAGCGTAATGTTTATTTTACCTAAAAACTGCAACCCTGAATAGCATTTAAAAGTTGAAGTCATCAGTGGAATAATTTATCCTCCAACCTAGAAGCATTATGAGTACGGTTTGGCAACTGCTTTTCACATATGGCAACCTGAGTTAGCTTGTAACTTCCAAAAACGTGTGAAGGTTGTAAAATATATACTTTGATCAGTTGAGGTATTGTCCAAATTTTATAATATATATATATATATATATATATATATATATATATATATATATATATATATATATATATATATATATATACAGTGGGGTATGCTATAACGAACGGATTCTACTACGAATATTCCTATAACGAACGGTTTTACCTATAAAATTGAGAATGCTATAACGAACGAAACTCCTACAACGAACATTATTTATTTATTTTTTTTTTAATTTATTGTTTTTTTATTACAAATATTAATGATATTCTTTATTTCAGGGGTTTAGATGCATATTTATGCACTTTTTTACAATTTTTACAATTTTATATTATATTTTTCAGTGTTAAGTGGTTGTATTTGGGGGCCTGGAACGGATTAATCCTATAACGAACGAATGCTATAACGAACAAGGTTCTAGAACCAATTAGATTCGTTATAGCATACCCCACTATATATATATATATATATATATATATATATATATATATATATATATATATATATATATATACAGTATATATATTATATATATATATATAATATATATATATATATAATATATATATATATTATATATATATATTATATATATATCATTATATATATATATCATTATATATATATATCATTATATATATATATTATTATATATATATCATTATATATATATATTATTATATATATATATATTATTATTATATATATATATGACGACACACAACTATGTTGTAGTAAAAATTGATGGTATGAACAAACAAGTAATATAGAAGAGGTTAGGTTAGGAAAAATAAAGGTTAAGTTAGGAAAAATAAAAGTTAGGTGTAACACTTACGTTAGTAGAAGAAACACACTGCGCAACCTTACAGTGCGGCTTGCCCAGGCGGAGGGAGGCGGAGGCAGAAGGGGAGGGAGGGAGAGGCGAGGCAGGCGGGGCGAATCTAAAAATAGCGTCTCGAGCCAGACACTCTGCGCGTATATGGGTAGATGAACCGCGTTAAGTGAAACCACGTAAAGCGGGGTACAACTGTATATGTATATATATATATATATATATATATATATATATATATATATATATATATAGTTAATGGATCCACTTCAGCAAATAGGTTCATTGCTTGCTCCATATAATATCCGCAGACCTCTTGCCTTTTTCATATCGTTTTAACACATCTAGTTTCTCGGGTAAGCTTAAACACTTTCTATTAGCTTTTGAAACAACACTACCATCACTTGCTCATGTTGAATAGGGATGCAAAAATGCTGTAAGAAACCTGAGAAAGTTTTTCTGTTTCTGTTCAGATGCGTGAAAGCAAAAGGCCCGCCAAGCTCCGACTGTTGTTTACTGGCGATGCCATTCAGTAGCTAGGCAGCTTCTTTGCGCAAGGCGCTCTTCATTTTATTTACAGTATTTTTTTTAAATACATATTGGGATTGTTATTATTTATATGAAAATGTAATTTTATTTTATTTTTATTATATTTTGGTCGTAAATACGAATGAAATAGGGACGTAAATTGAATTGGGTCCTAAATTAACTCGGGGTCTTAAATATGAAAAGTTGTTGGTTGAACCGTTATCGGAGGCTTTACTGTACCAGTAAATGTGAGGAATAATAAGAAAAAATACTACACTGTCTTTTGGCAATCAATTCACAGAACATGAGACAGAACAGTGGAGAGATCCCAACGCTGTTCCTCACTCACCCTTCCCCACTCTGTTGGCTAACTGCCGACCAGGTAAATTTGTTTATTCCCTTTATGTTTTTGACCTCTTGATATATAATTTTTTTTTGCACATTCTGTATCAACAATTGTGTGTGCATGTGACAGAGTAAAAGAAATGTAGAAAATTATGTACAGTGAACCCTCACTTTACGCGGTTAATTCAACCCACAGGGTACTGCGGAAAGTGAGAAATGCGTCAAGTGAACAACATAACATATGGGATTAATTGAAATAGAGACCGGGCCGACCCCCAAACTCCACTTTTTCAGACACAATACCTACGTTGTAGTAAAAATAACTTCTTGATGGTATGCACACACATTTAATAATTAATAGAAATAATAATATTAGGTTTTTTAACACTTACATTTGTAGAAAAGATGGCTGGGCACACGGGGATGGGGGGTTGGTTCCGAGGCAGAGGGCAGATTATTGGCCCTCACCTGTATCACTTGTATCACTATCCACCACAGAGGCTTGCAGGGCCTCTTTGTCAAACCCCTCAAAGTCCATATAAGTCCATATCCTCACTATCACTGACTAGGGCCTGCTGTGGTGGGTGGCGGGTGAAGAACTCGGTAATGTTTTGATGACTGGGCGACCTTGTGTGCACCCTGCTCGTGCCGCTTACACAACATGGCGGGAGGTTTGGATCCAAAAATGGTGCGGCTCGCCAGCCGCTCTCCGCGTAAAGGGGTACACGCACCGCGGAATGTGAGCATTCCGGTTTCGGCAGGGTACCGCGTAAACGCGGAATGTGGGACCGCGTAAAGCGAGGGTTGACTGTACAGTATATCTACTCAAAATTACTTGTTGAACAATAACAACATTGCTCACATTCAGCCTTACCCACTCTTTGAGTGCTACTGGGTGGCAAGTCAGCGACACTGCTACACAATTACATGCCATCTCCATGGATATTACAGTCGGCCCTAAACATTCGCGGGGGTTAGGTAACAGAGATACCCGTGAATGTTAAAAATCCGTGTACTATTGCTGCCCCCCCCCCCGAAAAAATCCCTGGCCCCCCCATGTCCTTATTTACCGTATATACCTGTGTGTAGTTCGAGTTTTTAAGACCAAATTATTTGGCAAAAATTGGGGGTTGACCTCTAAACGGGTAATAGTTTCGTTAGGTTGAAAAATATTTACCAGTAACTACCAGTAAACAATGGAAACGATGCACCAACACACCACCAGCTGTGAGCGTCGGTACAGTTGCCAGGGCAGATCTCTTGCGAGCCCAAAGTAGCCAAATCCATGGTATGGTAGCACAGGACGATGTAAAACAAAGTATTCATTTATAAAAGTTAATTTATAGATACTGGACATAAATTTTTGTTCATTACATTTGAAACATCAATCTTTGTTAATTAAATTTGAAACAAGACAAAATTACGATACTGGATTTTCATTAAAATATTACATCACAAGTATATTTTACCTTGACTGTGACTGAATGAATATATTCTCGGAAATAAATATGGAAATGTAATATTTTTGCTGGAATGACGTACATATTATAGTGGGAAGTGGGATAAAATCATGACGAAAGACTTTCGCTTTCTTTCGTTGTTCAAAATATTTTACCGTAATCGCTTTTCGAATGGTTTTCAGTTAAAAAACTGTTGTACTAGTACTGTATTACAATAATATTCTATCCTATCATTAGCCTTATAATCCCACAACTGAAAACCATTCGAAAAGCGATTACGGTAACATCTTTTGAACGAAAGAAAGCGAAAGTCATTGCTTTCGTCACTTTCCACTGTAATACGTACATCATTTCAGCAAAAATATTACATTTCCATGTTCTCAGAAATAAATGGTAGTTTTGTTGAAACGTAATGTACAGTATTTAACATTAAAATGCAAAAATAGCTATAAAAACAATTAATACACCCGTAATGTACTGGCTGGCATCTCCACTCGTCCCTGCTCCCGCCAGTCACCCCCTCCCCGCTCTATCCCTCCGCCTCCTCCACATCGTCACTACTGTTGTATTACAATAATATTCTATCCAAATTGACTTGAATAAATACTACGATACCATATTTCTGAATATTTTCATTAAAATCCATCCAAATCATTTTCCTTGCCATCGGCAGCACCAAACAGCTTCTCCCAGTCCTCTCCTTGAACAGGGCTAGAGGGTACGTGTTTTTCGAATCGTTTTCAATTAAAAAAATGTTACATCACACGTATATTTTACCTAAACTGCGCCTGAATGAATATATTCTTGGAAATAAATAGTAATTTTGCTGAAACGTGATGTATTTCAATGTAAAATAGGATAAAATACATGACGAAAACAAAAGACTTTCCCTAACCTTCCAATGTTCAAGAGATGTTACTCGTTTTTTTAATAGTTTTCGGTTAAAATACTGTTATATTACAATGATATTATATTCATACTGTGTTTGATATACTACATTCACAGAAATGAAATATTTTTGCTGAAATGACATAAGTATTACAGTGGAATGTGGGACAAAATCGTGACGAAAACAATGACTTTCGCTTTCTTTCGTTCAAAAGATGTTACCGTAATCGCTTTTCGAATGGTTTTCAGTTAAAAAACTGTTCCATCACAAGTGAATTAGGATAGAATATTATTGTAATACAACAGTTTTTTAACTGAAAACCATTCGAAAAGTGATTACGGTAACATCTTTTGAGCGAAAGAAAGCGAGTCATTGCTTTCGTCACTTTCCACTGTAATACGTACGTCATTTCAGCAAAATATTACATTTCCATATTCTCAGAAATAAATAGTACTTTTGCTGAAACGTGATGTATTTCAATGTAAATTAGGATAAAATACATGACGAAAACAAGAGACTTTACCTAACCTTCCGATGTTCAAGAGGTGTTACTCGTTTTTTTAGTAGTTTTCGGTTAAAATACTCTTATATTAGTGATATTCTATTCATACTGTGCTTGATATAATACATTCACGGAAATGTAATATTTTTGCAACTACAATGCTGATGTCAACACAAGTGTGGTTACAGCGAGACTGACTGAGTGAGGGAGAGCTATGCGTGTGTGTGTGAGGTTGTGGGAGCGGGTGGTGTCCCGTGTTCGGTGCCGCGCGCGAGTTGAATGGCGCGCGATTTGAATGTACTTCAATTTCTTCAATGTACAGAATATTCCTCTGGCGGGGCAATCCGCGTATTTGCGAATCCGTGAATGCTAAATCCGCATATGTGAAGGGCCGACTGTATTTCTAACTATCCCTTGTTTACGATATTATTCTTCGTTTCTGTTCGCTAAGCATTCTGTTTTTCAGGCAAACATCTCAATTGCTAAACAATGGATACCTGTATTCACTATACTGTACCATATCTGGAAGAGTTAATACTCAGTGCAAGTATATGAGTTATGTAATTTATGAATGATAATAACACAACTAGGTTGAAGGAAACAACTATAATACAGCATAATTTTATCCATTCCAGTGCCTGGATCTTTGTACATTCAGTCCTACATTTGTCTACAGTACCTATATGCTAATATCATCACAAGGGCAAATGCATTCCTGAGAACACATTAGACACATATAAACAAAATTAAACCATTAGTTGAGAAACACAACAAATAACTTCTGTACTAAAGGTACAAAATTTCAACATCAAATATAAGGGAAGTAAAAAATTAAAACATCAATGCCTTCAAAATACAGCTGTTTGCATTAAAATATTAATTAGCCTGTACAACAGCATATATACACGAGGTATTATATATAATTCAAATCCTTAGGGTGGGATGTTAATGTACAAACTGTTTAATAAACATATCTCTTCAGGCTTTGTTGAAAGCCTCTTACCCTGCATAAAGAACCTAAAGGCAAAGTAAAAATACCAGAAAATATAACAATCAGGATGACTGGAGACCTACATTAACATTTACAATTTCTAACCAATGGTAGTTATAAATTTCTCAAGGAACTTCGAGTAAAACATAACATTAGTTAAGGACTCAGTGGGAACTATTTAGTGGGAGTGTCAAAAGGTTCAGTGGTGGGATAATTACACACGTCTGCGGCAGTGGTGACACTTTTAATCTTCTCCTTCGTCCATAACACTTCTTTTTTTACAAGAACATATAAAGATTTCTTTAGTGATAAATATTTCTATACAGCCACAGTAAACTGGCATTATTTGACATAATATTCCCTTTCTCTTGGATTTTTGGTGCCTTGTAAAAGTCTGACCCTTCCTTGAAAGTTTTTATCAATAAACTATTCAACCAATTACTTAAAATATTAAAAGACAAGCCACCCAAAAGTTTATCACACACGAGCATCATCCAACTTATAATATTATCAATATTACAAAAAAATTTAGTGTCTCATCCCAAAAGTATGATGACCTATCATAATAATATAAAAGACAAAATTTGTAAACCTTTACAATCCCCCCCGCCCCTAATCAACACTGAAGCATATTTTAACTCTTCCAATGTTTTGTTTTTTCATTCTAAAATACTACAGCCAAATTGGTTGGCTTCACCATATGCAAAACTCCATGTACATGAAGATCAGTTTTCTGACAAAGAAACCTATATTTTCCACTTGTTTCTTTATTTTAATTTTAGCCAAATTGTGGGGGCAAAAGAGGTTAAAGTAACATACATCATAAAATTTTCTTTAATGCCAAAAAATTTCATTTTTAACTCAACAATGTGTAAACTATTATGATTTCAGTGAATGATGTTCTACATCAATTAATTTGCATTTTATAAATTTCACTTTTACAACTGCTTCTAAACATGGATATTCAAACTTTACATACCCATGTTACATGAAGTCATATTAAAGCCACATTCAGTCTGGTTTGACTATAACTAAACAATTCAAAATGGTTGCATTCACAAAATTGTTTACCTACCATAAAATGTATGTATCTCAGGATGAGAGAACAACGAAACTACAAGATTTGTTGATATACATTACTGTTTGTGAAGTTAGTACTCCTTGGTGTCATTGGGATCCCTTTTAAAGATTGATCCATACTTACTCATGTACTTACGAACAAAGTCTTTAGTTTTATGCTTCACACTGTCACTGCACTCCAAAGCATCTATGCTGTGAAGCTGCTTCAACTCCTTTACCATAACAAAGTGGGTGAGCTAGAAAAAAAAAAATACCATTGACCAGCATGAAATTATTTTCATACAAAGCTATAACACATTTTGATGTATGTTTATTCTAAAATCTGCAATCACGAATTTTAGTTAGGTTCCAGAGGCCAAATATCACACACCAACCGTTCCAAAACTGCTTCATTAAACACTAAATATCATACACAATAAATAAAAAAATACAGTAACACATACTGTAGATATTGTAAAAAAAAAAAAAAGTTTATAGTTTCATAATATATAAAAAAAATCCTTCTCTTCTCTTAATTACCCTCTGGGTGACATCAATTTACCAACATAGAAACAGGAAGGTGCCAAGCTGGCTGTGACTATGCTATACAAACAAACAGTGGGAATTCAACACCACACAATAACTCTTCTTGGTTTGTGTTTTTTTTCATGATTTTTGTTTTTACTTTACAATAATGTTTTACTAATCTGGCACCTAAGGTACCTAAATAAAATAGGACATGTATAGGTATGATATTCTTGTGCAAAATGAGACCCCACTATAGTAATATCCCTGTTAGCTGGAATCTTCGATCCTTAGAACTTTCCATTAACCAGAAAATAAAATTTTAGCATTCTGAGAAATTTTGAGACAAATTTCCAAGCAATTGTATGATTTGCCACCATGTGCTGAGTGCTCAGAGTTGCTCATGAGCAAAAATTGACTACTGGCTACTACAGGTTGTACCTCCTCTTGGGACCTGACCGGTGCAGAACCAGGGAATTTTTCCGAACCATGAGTGGTCAGCATATTATACTACCAAAACACATTACACAGCACTATTATACCATTATTTTATTACATTTTAATTTAAAATTGACACAAGATGGCCAGTCAGCTGTTCAGTTCACAACCACACACACTTTAATATATGGTAATAGATTGATTTAGAAAGGTTGGCTTGACAAATTATTACAGTATTAGTCACACATAATTTTCACATCCATACATTTTTAATTGCATTATTTTATTGAGTTACAGTATTTGGTAGATATATTGTATGTTAAATAAAAATGTGGCAAGTTTGCAGTGGGTGGCCAGCTGCACGGACTGTGATTGGAGAAATTTACTTTGCTTGTACATAAATATTTATGGTACTTGATGCAGCTACTGAATTTTGGTATTTTAAAACTTACAAGCATGAAAACAATATATGCTTGTATTTATTATAAATTCCAAAATTCCAAGTGTATCAAGTGTCACAAATATTTGTAAGCAGGGTAATTGAGCAAACGGGACTCAGCCACACAGCTCACATGAACCTAGCCAGTAAAGACGTTAACACCACCACTACACACCCGACAGACAGACATTTATTGAGTTATATACCTTAAAGGTATTACAATTACCCACTAAAGAAGCAGGAATAGAATTATAGTGGTAAGACACAACCCTCACATATAGTTGTGTTAGAAGCTTATCTCGATTTTTTTCTCCTGGCGGCCTCAACGTGTTTATGGATTAACCATGCAAGTGAACCGCCCCGCAAGCATGGTAATTTGATTGTCTACTGTACAGTAAATGTAATCACCTCAAATGAGGCCTGTATTCCTCATCCAAAATGATGTGATTCAGGTTACTCCTAATCCAGATTACATTAGAGTTACATCCGGGGTATCGGCTGGGGTGAACTAAAATCAGGCCAGACGATAGAGGTGCAACCTGTACTTTTATGTGATAAGAATCTTGGAAAAAATTATTTAAAAATTCGAAAACATATACCAATCATGTGGGACATTTGTTAATGTTGTGGAGCAGTAAGGAATGGACTATGGTCCTGCCAGCCTAGTTTGTATCACAATAATGTAGCAGCCACACCGCTCTCAGTCACCATGATCATAGGATAAGGCAATGAATTGATTATCAGTACTATATATTTTGGTTAAAATACATCTGCCTTTTATTCTATTTTTATTCTATTAAAACATTAATCAATCAGTTGAAAAGGACATTAATAATTAAATAAGTGGAAATATTAATTAAAGTGTGTGAGCCAAGCATGCGTGTCAAAAGTGATTGTGGTGGTAGTGTTGGGAAGTGATTGTGGTGGCGTTGGGGTAATGATCGTGGTCGTGCTGGAGAAGTGATTGTGGTGGTGTTGGGGAATTGAATGTGATGGTGCTTCTGAGGAAGTGATTGTGGTGTGCTGCTGGTGTTGGGGTAGTGATAGAGGCAAAGAGGATAAAGTATAGTGAACTTCAAGTACATCATACCGGTATGATTATTTTACTTGAATGATTTATTATGAGCATAAATAAACCAAGCTGTGTTAGTGTAATATGCTCATTGTTGTTTTGAACAATAGTGCCTCCCTGACTTACGAACGCCCACTAACAAGAACGGGGTTAAACTAGAAATTCACAGTATTCTATTTACCCGATGACTTATTTTTTAATTTCATTTACTGTATTTTGTCATTTCATTTCTTCTTTTCTCTTAAATTAAGTAATTTTAGATGTATATAATGACTTAGGCTATGATATAGTGGGATTTTAAAATTTTTTCTGTAAGTACGGTATTCAAATAGCATGTATTCCGACTTACATACAAATCCAACTTAAAAACTTCCCCAGAAACAGATTCCATCCGAGTAACAACGTCACTGTAGCTTAATTTGTCTGGTACTTGGGGGTTCCTCAATTTTTTTTGCTTACAATATACTGTACGGGTAATGTTTGAATAAATAAATACCTCTCAGTGTCTGTCTGACTGCAGTTAAGCCTCCATAGCAATGGTGCTCTGTGCCTGATGCATTTTTAAGATGCAGAAAACATTCACCAATGCCTGGAAAAATTCCATAGATGTGCTATTTTTTGGGGATAAGAGAAATCCTCTCAATATCAGGAAATCTCTCAAAACCAGAAACACTCTGCACCAATCGTTCTGCTAATGGGGATGTTATTGTGAACACTGCAACAGCCACCACTCTGCCATAAATTATGAATATTTGACGGCAAAATTTAAAAACAGAGGTAGTACAGAAATAGGGGTACCCGCAAATTTAGGAACACGATGTATTTCACAAATTATTGTGAATCCACTGTACTGCATGAATGAATGTGCCACACCAGGAAAGAAAGATTTCACTTACTCGGTGTCCTTTTAACCCTCTTAAATAAAAGGGGCAAAAAGGTCGCATCTACAAAATCCAAACCTTGGGCCTGTCAGTATACATTTTCCCTATATTGTAATTCAAATACCTTACCCACATCAAAGACCATTTGGTTCAGGTCTGGGGGTAATTGGAGAAATACCTTCTTGTCCATCAGATCATTCTTATATACGTATAATTATAAGAATGTCATTATACAAATGGTAAACCAGAGCCAACTCCTTCACATGTACTAATATGAAAATAAATGCACATCTTTATCAAAAACTGTGAACTACTCACTCTCCAATGCTTGAGGGTGTGTACATACAGTAGTTAACAATCATAATGATTCAAGAGATCTTTTAAATAAAAATCTTCTAACTGGAGGCAAAATCATGCAACAGAAAATGAAATCCAAAAATTTTAGAAAATCTGATTTATAAATTTTTACACCTAAATATCAAAGACTGTGCTACTCTAAAAATCTTGGGAATTTCACTTAAAATGAAATATTCCCACTAAAATCATGTAAAAAATATTCAAAACACCAGGTATGAAACTCTTACCTTTCGAGCCAGGTACTTGAAGTCTTCAGTACAGGTAATTTTGCCTTCCCTACAATCTCCACGCCTATAAGGATTTAGCACAGACACAATAAAGGTGGCCATCTTTGATCTAAAGGTATCCTTGATCTTTCTGGCAGTCTCACTGTTATCTGCAATTGCTGTTGCAGCCCGCTCCTTACTCTGAAACAAATAAGGTTAGTTTTTAAATAAGATATATTGTACTGCCAGCCTATGGCAGTTTTCATTTAATTGGCTAATTGTATTAACTTCACATGCTACCTGATGTAGTTTAATTTAAAAATTAGAAGTTCAACCCGAACAAGAAAATCTACCCAGGTCTTGTGTTTGGCCACATTCTCTGTGCAGTATCAACCAGTAGCCTGCCATATATTCAAGACACTGCAATATCATCTCAACGACTAATTTTTTCCAATTCTCCACATTTTTAATACTTCCCGAGTCCAACTAATATTCATCTGTCTTTTCCTGCTGCCTTCCTTTTTCTTTTCTCTCTGCTTTCTGGGGTGAGTCCTATTCTCCACACAAACCTCTCAAGTGTAAGCAAATGGTTACCAAGTCACACTAGTAACACAAATGATCTTCACTTTTGATCCAACAATATATAAAATCCTTCCCCTACCAAAGAGCAATATACCACTGAATTTGAAAGTAACCAGAATCAAGAAACTAAACTTATCAAGCAGAAGCCATCTTGATTATGGCTGGAGGGAGAGTCAAACAACATGGTAGTTACGTAAGTGAACATTACTCCTGCTGCTGCAGTCAATACTATTTGATGAGGTAATAATCAAGACGGATTCAATATGATAAAATTATACAGATGCCCAGCCTTTCAAGGTGGCAAGGTAGTTCTATTGGGTGATACAAAGAAATAATCTAAAGGCAGTGGATACTGGGCTCTAAATTTTTATCAGGAAATGCATTGAAGGGGGGCCCCCTGCCAAGGTTTTCTAGAAGAAGTCCTGGGCATTGGATATGCAGAATGATTGGCAATATGAGTGATGCATGATTAAATTTGAATTTTTATTTATTTTTTGTGGCATTTCAACAGTTAAGACACTATAATGTACCATCATTTAATACTATATATATTAGATTAAGTTTCACATTTGTGGTTCCAGTACAGCATACAGTGGTCCCTCGGTTAACGAACGGTTCGATTAACGAAATCCTTGCAACAAACACGTTTTGTTGTGAGCATCAGCTGATGGGCTAGTCTGCCAATTCAGTAATCCGTTCTATGTTTACATTCGTTTCCAGTGGAGGAAAGATCAAGAAAGTTGTGCTCTTTAATATTTTTGCAAGTTTTATATTAAAATTATTTGTTCTTTTAAAATTTAGTTAACATATTGATAATATATGCAGTACAGGGAACTAGTTTTTTGTGCACCCATCAGCCACTTGACTCACCCATTAGACATCAGTTTAACTTTGTTTACAGTGGAGTGAACATCGATTTTGTTGGTGTCTTGAATATTTTTGCATTTTTACATTAAAATTATTGGTCATTCTGAAATTTAGTTAACATATTGGTAATATATAGCGCAGTACAGTGTTGATTTAAATAAAATAATATTGAATTACACCTCGTGAAATTAAAATTTTATTGATGAAATTACTGCATCAAGCATGGGTCCAAAGAAAGGCAATTTCTCATCCATCCCCACTTCCTTCTCTTCTCCCTTCTCCTCCATCCCCACTTCTAATTCCCATCATCATCATCATCAACCAGGAACCTTCTACATACACACCTCAAGGCAAGTGTACTTTACTGCATTTTTTTTTTACTTTGTATGTACTTTTCTGTGAGCTGGAACCAATTACCCAATATCCCAATATCGTTAACAGAGGGACCACTGTACTGTATTCATATAAAATTTGTTATTTTGTTGAAAAATATTCATGATCTTGTAGCCACAGTGAATGATTCACAGCATCTTTCTCCCCACACAAAATTCTGGTTATGCCCCTGAACTTACACTCCAGTTAGTGAGCTACGGTAGTTTTACTTCAAACAAATTTTTTTTTTCACTCAAAGATTTTCTTTTTAAACCTTTAAAGAAAATAATTTATTCAACTACAGTAAACCCTTGGTAACTCAGAATTGATAACCCATAATTCAACATAATTCAGAATGACAGTAAAATAGTCAACAGAAAATTATTTTTGAATAATATTTTACCTTAACAATATTTTTTTTTCAAAACTCAATATATTCTGAGATATGATGACGCAATCTCGGATTGATGCAGGGAGGCTCTGCCCAGTCAGTCACTCGGTTACAGATCAGTAGGCCTAGTGAGGATATCCACCCACAGTCGCCCTACTTATTTTCACATATTTTGTGCAAAGTGCTATTCCACCAACATTGAAAATTTAAGCAGTATATATGTACAGTAATGCTTAAGTGAATAATAACATTTAAAATTGGTGATGTAAGTGCTTACAATACTGTACAGAAGTGTACTGTACATACTGCACTGTACGGTAATGCAGTGAACCCCCATCACTTCTGACACCTATCATGTGGCACAACAAGCTTGAATTATCCTCATCCTTCAACTGCAGTGCTGGTAAGTGTTCATTTTTTTTGCAAATTTTCTGATTATGGTAAGTTATTTGGCCAAGAAGTTCGGTATTGGGCTGGGATAAAAAAAAAAGCCTTGATAACATGGAATGGTTAAGAGTCCCATATATTCTAAGTTTATCAAGGGTTTACTGTACCATGTAAACCACAGAAATCACATTAATCCAGATACATTAAACTGAATCTGCTTGAAGTTACCAGAATTCCCCTCGAGGTCTGTTAAAAATGACTTCCATGAAAAAGAAATTTTTACTTTGTGGACAAAAGAAATATAAATAATAAATAGTAACTGAATACACAGTAGATTCTTTAGGTAATCAATAAATTAAAAAAATAATAATAAAATAAAAATAAATATATAAACTTTATTCTTAGGGATATTGTCTGTTTTGACTGACAAAGTTGGTGGAATTATCGATTTCCCATTGATATTTGTCATGAGTGACTGCACCTTACGAATGTGATATATCATACAACCACTACTCGTGAAATCTTTCAGTAGCCTTCAACAAAATTTCCCCAAATTTACATTGGCGAGTGGTAGGTGGCGACTGTATCTTGCAATAATTTATAGAAAAATTGTAGCCTGTAGTCCTATTGTTTTTTGTTTTTTTGCTGTATAGGCACAAAAGGCAGGGAATGCACTTACAACTGATACTGGACTACTACAGTGGCCTAGTGTAAAAATCATGGCATTGTTTCCAGTGACACCCATTCATCAACCTCAATTTAATCCAAATACAGAATGTAATACTGAGAGGCTTTATTACTACGTATACTGTATTAGAAAATAATATACTGTACTGTACAGGTCATATTTTCACTTCATTTGGTTCAAAATAAAAATTAATTGTCTTGATTACTGGTATAACAAATCCAAAACCTAAATATAAGATTTTAATAATATTCAAATTTAATTCTACTCTTAACAAGTACAGTAACTACGATCAGTGATGCATATTTCATTCAACCATATTAACATTATATGGTAAAAACCCATCAAAGTACAGTAACATCAAATGAGCCTCAATACATCCAAACAGCATGCACCTACCCTCTCATGTGGCCAATTTAATAAAAATAATAATACAGTAAAAAAATAATAATAAAAATTAAACTTAACAATACTCTTAATGAATATATAACTACATTCAATATATTTAAACCAGTTCTACCCATTAGCAGACCCTAAAGTAATTAATTTTTAAAAACAAACTATAAGCAAAGGACAAATTGAAATTTTCATCTATATCTCCATTAAAATTACTTTGTAATGGGAAAATAATGATTTTACTTTATTTATTGAACTAACCAAAAAAAAAATTTTTTTTTCATAACTTACTTAAACGAAAAGTCTCAAACCAAACTAAAGAATGCATGAAGATTTTAAACTGTCACATCATGATTTTAACTCTAGAGTATTGCCAGAAATTTTAACTTTAATTTTCACATATATACTAAGTAAATCCCTAAGTCTAAAAGAACAAATTACAAAAAACAAACAAAAACTTAAGAGTAAAAAACAGAACAAACCAAGGATAGGCCAATTTCCCTCCTCCATACAACCCACCTTTACCTTCTCTCTCTTTACCCGACTCTCATGACGTTCAGCTCGTTCACTTCTCTCCACACGCTCGGGTTTCTCAACACGTTCAATTTTTTCTGGCCGCTCAATTTTCTCTGGGAGTTCTACAAAATCAGGTCGATCAACCTGAGTGCGAACTTGGCGCTCTTCCTGTCGCTCTTGACGAGCCTCTTCTCTGGCACGTTCTTTTGCTTCTCGACGTTCACGCCTTGCTGCCTCACGATCAATTTCCAGGATGGGCTATAGTACAGGGTAGGGAAAAATTTTTACCACTAAATTTTTTTGAAAATACAAGATTCATGGAAAAGAAATACTTAAAGTACAGTCAGCTTACCTTCTCTGTACCAGTATTATTTTTTTATTTACTGTACTATACACTTATCTCTCCATATTCGCAAGGGTTATGTTCTCCAAAATTAATGGAAATTGTGAATTCGCAAATACCTGTACTGTACTGAATTTAATACCTCAAGGAAAAAATAGGGTATGGTACCATGCCTATCAAGATTATAATTTGTCATAATATTTTGGGTTAGAAATGATAAATGTTTCAGAGATGATGTTGTTTATATGGATTGAGTATTTATAATACAAATTAATAGATTTAAACAAATATATATTTTTTCTCTATGTAGTATAATTCAAGTCTGAGTATGTAAATCAACACGTAACTTATATCACTCAGGATATTATAGTCCACTCCAGTAAAGCCGTTTTCTCTAATAGCTACAGAGCAAAAATCACAAAACTACTGTACTCTAATGTGGCTTAGAAATAAAGAAAAGAAAATATAAAACTAAAACATAAGAAAAATTAAAAACATATACTGTATGTGTGGAGAGAGAGAGAGAGTGTGTGTGTGTGTGTGTGTGTGTGTTGGGGGGGGAGGTGAACATATATGGAGGCAGTGAGCTGTGCTGTGTGGCCGACTCACCCGTGTCCCTCCCCCATGTGACGCAACAGCATACACACACGTCTCAGTCAGCTGGTTGACTGCCTGGCTGAACTGTTTTGAAAGCACTTAGATGATGGTTTGAGTGTGGAAGGAGCTATTTTTTGTACAAAAAATATGTGCTTTTGTATTTCAAGATATGCTATGTATCAACTTTACTGTTTATCATAGCAATTTTTGTTAGCAAAGCAGTTATTCCACCACTGGTGGCAGACATGCAAATGAATGATTTCAGTTACATTCAAATTGTTGGACTAAATTATAATTTTTACAGAAGCAAGGGGGACAAAGTTCAGATACCCGGAAGATTCAGATAATTGGAATTTGGATAAAAGGAAATGGACTGTAGATTAAAAAAAACCCTATGACATTGGAATTACCATAAAAGTGGAAAAGTTCTGGATACAGTGGCCTGACATGAATGGGGGAGGTTGTTGGGTGTTACTGGGTCAGTACCGTGGGAACCAAATTTTCCTAGGGCCCTGAATATTAATTCTGGTGCCCTAGATACTTTGTGGTGCAATGTATAGCACCTTATACCCAAAATATTGCAGTGCTACAGCATCCTCCTTCCTTGCATTCACGTACTGGGTGGAGTGTGAGGAGGACGGTGCGGCACACATGAGAGAACTGACTAACCACGGAGTGTGTGCAAAAGATTCTCATCAGCTATGGTTGGTCTAAAAATTTCTAACAGCCTCGCAAATAGCTGAATTTCAATACTAAACCTTGAATAAAGGACCACTAATAATGTTTTGCAAACAAGTGAATCTGCAAATACTGTACAAGGGTATAAATGTATATAAATCAAGTCATAAGAAACTACTGTACAGTACAGTAGTTGCAAATTACTAGCCAAATTAAACACAGCTTGTTTTATATTTCCTTAAACCTATAATCTCAAATTGAAATTTCAAAATTTTTTAATCTATCTTAAGGAAAAATACCATACTGTACTTAGATATACGGTGCTGTACACCGGAAAAAAAATTATATATGTTCAAATCTCTATAAATTGCTAAACAGTACATACTTACGCCCATACCATACAGGAAGCCTGTGTAATTTAGGTTCGAAAATTAACATCCTTGAGTCACAAGAGGGCTCAAGTCACTGCATTAGAATAGGCATTCAATCCTTGTGTCAGCCAATGAATACACCTTCTCTACCCTACGTCCTGTTCTCAGCCAATCACACTGTTCTATGGTCCTGACCCACACCGCCCAGTCACTCCAATTGCCCGCCATAAATTCTTGTGCTCACACAAAGGGATATTACTTTGACAGTTTATGCGCTTTTATTGTGAATGTTAGTGGATCAGTTAATCTACATCGGCTGATAATGCAATTCAATCTTTCTCTTCCACCGGCTCACCTTCTGGTGCCAAGAAATGCCCTTGCAATCCTAAAACTTGGCTTGTAAACAGGACCAAAAAGGAATGCAGTTGCGACCTATATCCTCTGATTTCTATTTGTGGGGTCATTTAAAAAATTTACTTTATGCTACAGAGGTTTAAGCACAAGATGAATTGTGGCTACAAGTTTGTGACAACTGCAAAAGGATTGGAAATACTCCAGACCATCAATGGTGGAATGTGCTGTGGCATACACTGAAGAAAAGGGGAGGAATTTTTAACATTTAATGTAATAATGTAAATATATTCTCACCAGCATTAATTTGATAACTTTCAAGTGCTTTAACTAGGAAACTATGGGGGTACCAATATATATATATATATATATATATATATATATATATATATATATATATATATATATATATATATATATATATATATATATCCCTCACTTTATCAATGTTTGAGATACAAAATTTTGCATATAAAAATTTTCTATTCTTACACCTCGTTCTTATTATACAAAAGCTATTCTTGCTTATATGAATTTAATTTTGTGAATCAATTTATTTATTTTATTTTATTTATATATTTTTGTTATTGAGGCTTTCTTGGTATTGAGGAACTGAACCCTATTTTTACCATATTATGTTATTCGAGATACAAAAATTCAATAAAAGAATGGTTTTCAAGGAACCTAACCCATTCATAAAGTGAGGGATACCTGAATGTACAGATATAACAGAATAACATGCATAATATAAACGTCACCAACAATAATTAGAATAATATTATGGTAAAAACTAGCATATCATTAATATTATAAATTACTGAAAAAATCAAGCAACAATAAACTATGAAACTCAATAATGTGAAGAGAAAATTAACATGAGTACTATAGAATATACTACAGTAATGCAAACAACAATGAAAATAATATTACAATTCACTGTCATGTAACTTCCTTACTTTATACAAGATGATCATGTAGATGTAGAATAATGTTTGTAAAACCCAGGAAAACAAAACATCACCAGTGACCCATATTATTTTTCTATTATCACATACGTCTTCTCAATCTTAATGGTTGTAGCAATATAACAATTATGAATAAGGTTAAATACTATAGATTATTCTTGAGCTTTGTAATACTGCATTACACATCTCATTGCTGCACAATCTAAACTACTTACACCACCAGCACCACTTGTCGACATACAGTATATGCCTGGCCCAGATTCCACTACTTTTTGTGTTTACAAACCAAGTTTCAGGGTTACAAAAGCATTTCTTGGCACCAGACAGTTAGATAATGGAAGAGGAATGTTGAAGTGCATCATCAGCCATGTTATTAGTTGAATAATCCACCAATATTCACAATAAAAGCACAAAAACAGCTCGAGAAGACATGGCAGGAAACTGGAGAGGCTGGGCAGCATGGGTTGGGACCATAGCACAGCGACTGGTTGAGAGCAGGGCAAGGGTTGATGTGGCACAATCAGTGGCTGACATGGGGATTGTACGCCCCTTCTAATGCACACCTTGAGTACTCTTTTGACTCCAGTAAAGTAAATCCCCAAGTTTACACTATGATGAGTCTCCTAAAATTGAATGACTTGCTGGAACTGCCCTATTATACAGTAGTCTCTCGCCAATCACGGGGGATTAGGTTCCTGAAAAACCTTGTGGTTGGCAAGACTAAAGGCTTATGGGAAATAGGGAGTTAGGTTCCAGAGCCTAACGAAGTTGCCTGCTCCTTCACTGAACAATACTGTAACTGTGATGTACATTTAATTCAATTTGAGGCAAATACATATAAAATAACTTAATATAAATTAAATAGTAATACAGTATAAATTTTACAGTACATCTCCATAGAGATGACATCTCTCTCTCTTTCCCCCTCCCCTTCGGATGTCACTAAGTTAGACTGTCCCTGTAGCTACATCCCTCCCTAGCTCTCCCTCTTCCAGGCCATGCTGTGCTATTGTCTTTTTTTTCTTGTATTTTAAGGATTTTTTTTTTACAAGGTCAAAAACATAGAGAATAAACATTTCTTATCTCTGCGGGATTGTGGGATGGGGCGCAGGGGATCTTGGTCTATCCCTACCATGCCAAGCAGTGAGCTGTGTTATTGTTATTTTTCAACTCATTTTTTCAGGGAGATATACAAAATAAAAGAAAGAATTATCATAGGGTCTAATACATCAAAAGAAGAGAGAATAAACATTTCTTACATTCATGGGAGTAAGCCCATGATCATGGGAGGGGGAAGGGTGCTCTTGTCTCCTGTGTTCTTAGTGAAAGAACTGCCATATGACAATACAACATTTTTTTCTTATATTGTATTTATTAGTATTATTTTTACTTATCTCTCACATTTACGGATGTACATATCAGACTGTGATGGGATAAAGATGCAAGGTTAATAAGTAGAGACATAAAACTAAATGCAGCGGTTGGGAAAATGGTATACAAAGTGAAAACCCTGGAAAAACGGAATCCATGGATAGGAAATCCACTGCTGGTGAGGGTTTACTGTATATGACGCGAGAGGCTGACCAGTGATGCTAACATTAACATTATTTTGTAAAACCTAGTGAATGTAAACAGGTTAATCCTAATGTCACAAGCTGTCACATCTCAGAGGGTAGTATCGATGGTGACCTGAGCTGACTCTTGATTCTCTTTTTCATATCTCAGGCAAGAGAGGGGATGACAGGCCTGGCAAAACCTTGTTGGTCTCTTTGATAAAGACCTGAGCTGAAAAGTGTTGCTGACACATAAGAAGGTTGACCCTCGCTGATTTGTCTGGAATAAAACTAACACTGAACATTGACCTCCGACTACCCTCTTAAATTGATTTTTTCTTCAAAATTTAGATGATTTTTCAATTTCTCCTTTAGAATTACATGAATTGTAAGGAGGGATGATTGTATAGGAAATTCCCAGCCCTGATCTTGTTGCAACTCAAAATATCAGGTGTATTCTCCTTAACATGTTAGGTAATACAGTACAGTACAGTATGTTATATGAGTAATGATGTTAAAGTTTTGTGTAGCCTTGGAAAGCCTTGGCTTCGGCTTCATGAATTTTTAAATGGTTGGCACTTTGGCTTTATGACTTTCTAATGGCTTTGGCTTCGAAGCTAGAGGCTTGGCTTTAAACCCACTCCCCACACACAGACACACTAAGGCTTTCTATTTCTGCATAAGGAATTAGGGTGTCTAATTTTTTCTTCTGTTTATGATGGACAGCATTTGAAGGAGCAATAGTAAAGACACAAATATAAGATACTTAATTTCATTAATCAAGATTAAAGCATGAAGATTAGTAAACTTCATCAATGGATAGCATTTCCCTTTGTCCATCAGAACATTTGCAACACTAACAGAAGCAAACATTAAAACATAATACAAAAAAGCAAAGATTAAAGTGAACTTAGTGAAAATAACATAGACAGCATCTGCTGACTTAACATGCATGACGAATATTCCTTGTAGGTCTAGTACAGCAACTGCCATGCTTGACAATTACCTAAAACTACACAGTGCCACAGGCTAAGGGGTGTTCAACCATGGGCTAATAGGGACTGCATTAACAATGTGGGAAAAGACATGAATAGATTACAGATGATACTAAAAGCCCTGCAGGAGCACCCATGGTTGTGTCATAGTGGTGAGTCTCCTCAGCAGGGAAGAATTAAATCACTTACGCTGATTACGCGTTCCTGTACTAGCGCCTCCGACCGGCGTTTCTTGCCCCGCAGCCGTCTGATCATCTTCTCGTCTGACACCCCACTCCTTTCCACCGTCACCACTACCTCCTCCTCCTCCTCTTCACTTGAGAAGTCTTCGCTCTGAGCAGGTGACACAGGAGCCTCATTACATAAAAGAACTAGCCAAGGAAACTCTTCCACAATATGACATTCATGCAACCAGCATAACAATAAAAAAAAAGAAAAACAGTAAACAATTTGTCTACATAAGCATTGAAAGTAAAATATATAAATGACTTGCTATTCAAAACCTTAATGTAAAGCTAACTTACATCACTAGTGCTTGTTGAGTCTGAATCATCTGATGATGATGACTCTGAGTCAGAGTCTGACCCTAGTTCTGCTTCTAATTGTTGATGCTGCTCTACAGTGGGTGGCTCCCACTGGCTAGTTCTTGTCTTAACATGGTAGAAGTAAACATGGCCATCTGCATCACGTGCAATCTTCCATCGTGGAGGCAGCTGAATGGTAATGGGTTCTGGTGGTGGTGGTGGTGGAGGGCCCTCATCATTATCAATCAATGGAATTGGTGTTGTGTTTGGATCCAAGGTCACAGATGCAACTGTAGTGTTAGAGGGAGCTTCTCCAGGAAGAGGAATGGAGAGTACTTTGGCTCCTTGTGGTGGAGTGCCTTCACATGGTACAGCCTGTCCAGGTAAGGGCTGTGATGGGGAAGCTTGGGAGATGCTGGAAATTTCACCAGGCAGTGGAATGTTAGCTGGATTCAGTGGATCATCTGGTCCTCCTTGGCCTGGGATAGCAGGTTCACCATCCGGAGCAAGATGGCCAGCTAAAGGTTGACTTGACTTAGTTTGTCCTGGTACGAACATTGCTAAAGGTGACCCACCTTCACCATCACCCTTTTGCTGACCATATGCAGCTGGCACAGGGATATTAGGATCTGTAAAAAGAAATTATGTAGCTATTTTATGAACTTCTCATCAGTCTTTAATTGTCAATGTTGCAAAAACATGAGAAACACTTAAGAAAAGTTAATTTCTAAAAATCAAGAGAAAGAACTATATACCAAGAGTATTCCTTATGGTAAGTAGGAATACACAGACATAACTCTTCACTCCTGTTAACAGCCGGCTTCAAAATCTTTACTATAGTATAGTACAGTGGTCCTTCGGTTAACGAAAGGTTCAATTAACGAAATTTAGGTTGACGAATTACCTCCCATAAGGATCTTCAATTCGGTTAGCGAACAAAACTTCGATTAACGAAATCCTTACGACATTCACGTTTTGTTGTGAGCATCAGCTGATGGGCTAGTCTGCCAATTCAGTAATCTGTTCTATGTTTACATTCGTTTCCAGTGGAGTAAATATCAAGAAAGTTGTGCTCTTTAATATTTTTGCATTTTTATATAAAAATTATTAGTCATTTTAAAATTTAGTTAACATATTGATAATATATGCAGAACAGGGAACTAGTTTTTTGTGAGCCCATCAGCCACTTGACTCACCCACCAGGCGTCAGTTTGGCTTTGTTTAAAGTGGAGTGAACATCGATTTTGTTGGTGCCTTGAATATTTTTGCATTTTTACATTAAAATTATTGGTCATTCTGAAATTTAGTTAACATATTGATAATATATCGCACAGTGCAGTGTTGATTTAAATAAAATAATCTTGAATTACACCTAGTGAGCTTAAAATTTTATTGGTGAAATTACTGCATTAAGCATGAGTCCAAAGAAAGGCGATTTCTCCTCCATCCCCCATTTCCTTCTCTTCTCCCTTCTCCTCCACCCCCACTTCTAATTCCCATCATCATCATCAACCAGGAACCTTCTACATACACACCTCAAAGTAAGTGTACTTTACTGCATTTTTTTTTTTACTTTGTATGTACTTTTCTGTGAGCTGGAACCAATTACCCAATATCCCATTGAAACAATGGATTCGGTTAACGAAATTTTCGGTTAAAGAATGACTCTGTGGAGCGAATTGTGTTCGTTAACTGAGGGACCACTGTACATACTGTACTTAACCATGGGCATCCACAGGGAGGTGCACTTGTACCCGCAAGAAGATGAGAAATGCTCTTTTTTTCCACACTCCTTGTTCATAATATGTGTATGAAATTACAAGTTTTTAAGTGAACTGTTTGTTCCTCAATGTTCCCACAATGGACACTTGCGGTAAGCTGGCACTTTTGACAATTCCTCTGCCGGTTGGGGCTGGCTGGCCAACTCAGGTAAGGCCACCAAGACAAAATCACCGAGGAACCACGTATACCTGTTGTTAGGTCATGATGAAGCTGTGACTATTTGTCAAAATTGACGATGCATTATTTTACAGTTAGTTAAATTAGCAATTTTCAGAAACTTTACATAGTGTTGGATATTTTATTCATTTTTTATTTTTTATAACTAGTATAATACAGTATTTGGGTAACTACACAATTTGTTAAGTACAATACTGTATGATACAATTATAAACACCATATAATATCCGTTAATATCATTTTTTTATTTACGTCAACTGTCTTGGAAATTATTGATAGCTATAAGCGTACTTCAAAAATTTGCTACAATGAGTTCATGCATACCAAGCATGTCACTTGTAAAACCAAGTTGTGGTTGAAATGAGAGAAAAGATCCAGTGGTTGCTGAATGTTGGAAAAAATGGCGCAGTTAAATGATATCTACAACATCGATTATTTTGCTGAGGAGTCGAAATGTGGACACAGCGTCAACAATCCCAGAAGAAAACCACAGAATCCGGTGCAACCTCGTCCTTGACAGATCTTCTGAAGCTGTGTGATTTGTTTCCTGTTATTTGAGAAGCCTTACTGATCCCCTTGAACACTTCCAGCCTCCACTTTTAAAGTAGAGCAGTCATTTAGCATGCTGAGACATGTCAAGACATGGCTTCCATCAACAACATCAAATGAACGCTTCTCTGGCTTGTACATGCTCAGCGTCCATCCCCAGAAGGTATTAAATAGAAAGAATGCCTTCACTGAAGACATAATTGATCGTTTTGGAGCTGATAAGAGCAGCCTGCAAAATTGATTTAACCATTGAAATTACGCTGCTAGCATTGGCCATCCCTAGATTTTCAGAATTAATGATATCAAATTGATTATTTTCGTTAAGTTTTGAATGCTTCAGGTCAACCCTATGATACTTTTAGTAATTAATAATTTGGTGATAAAACTGATAAACGATATTGCTGATCATACATTACTCGAAAATAACTAGATTATACTTTACCATATTTTTATATGGATGTATACAGTAAAGCCTCGAATAACGACGTTAATGTGTCCTCCAATGTTGCAGTGTAGGATGAATCGTCTTAACGCGAATCATTAATTACCATTAAAATAAAGCAATATTAACGAGATGCGTTCCCAAGTGTGACCTTTTCATATCTTTTGTGTGGCTTTTTACCCTCTTTTCTCCCCGAAACAATACAATTAATAAAAATTGCAAACTATATTCTTTAAATAATGTTTCTGAATGCACCTTATACAATATAAATGAATAATAATATGGTCACACATGAGAAGATGGGACGCCATTGTTTGTTTACAGCCAGGAGTCCGGGACGATAGTTCTACACGAGAAAATTAAGATAAGAGACGACATTGTTGTCTGTTTACACCCATTATGTCAGTTATCCACCTGAAACTAAAGAAAATAAGACCCTGGTTGTTGTTGGAGCAAATTAATGTAAAAAACATGTATGTTTTAATTAATGTTATTTAATGTACAGTAGAAGTAACCACCGATATTAAAGAAAAAGTGACTGATAGTAGAACACCAATGTATACGCACTCAAGGAAACATACTTAAGAATATGTACAAAAGATTCATTATTGTTTGTTACTGAATACCCGGTATGTATTTGATTGAATTAATGTTTATATATGTGAAATGAACAATGCAATTCATTAACAATACATAGAATATTAAAACACACAAGAGGAGACAAGACGGCATTGTTTTCGTGAGTGACGATGGTTCTACATAAAAAACTGAAGAAAATAAGACCCTGGTGGTAGCTGTAGTGAAGTTAATTTTAAAAAATTGCATACCTGTATGTATGTTTTAAGTAATGCTATTTAATATTAATAAATGGAACACTAGTAGTAGCTAACCACTAATGGTAAAGAAATAAGGTGAGACGATTCGGAACGCCAACGTATGAACAGTAAGTGAGTACATGTAAAAACACATCATTTCTCTACATATGAATATGAAAGCAACACTTATTTTCTGTTCATATATGTTTTAAGTAATATTTACGAATGTAAAACTAAAATTCTCTTCACCAAATGGTGGTAAAGTCTAAAACATAAGGACAGCCAAAGAATGTTGTGCGAGTTTTTACTCAGATGACGAAGTCATCAGGTTCAACTTTGGCTGAAGCTGTAGGTTCAACTCTGGCTGAAGCTGTTACTGAACCTGAAGTTGATGTTGAAGCTGCTTATGATGCTGAATTTGATGGTGTAGCTGAAGTCGAAAGAACCTTGCACAGCTGCTTTCTTTTCTCATTATACATCTTTATGTAGAGGTCATTTGCATTTATTTAAATTTTAATGCTTTGTTCTGTTAATGGATCCACTTCAGAAAATATGTTCATTGCTTGCTCCATATAATATCCACAGACCTCTCACCTTTTTCATATCGTTTTAACACATCTAGTTTCTCGGCTAAGCTTAGACACTTTCTATTAGCTTTTGAAACAACACAACCATCACTTGCTCTCTTGCTCATGTTGAATAGGGATGCAAATATGCTGTAAGATACCAGAGAAAGTTTTTCTCCTGTTCCTGTTCCAGATGCGTGAAAACAAAAGGCCCGCCGAGCTCCGACTGTTGTTTACCACTCATAAGCAAGACAGCCTCTTTGTGCAATGCGCTCTTAATTTTTTTTTTCAGTATTTTTTTTTTATAATGCATATTGGGATTTAGTTATTACTTATTTGAAAATGTAATTTTATTTTATTTTTATTATATTTTGGTCGTAAATACGAATGAAATAAGGACGTAAATTGAATTAGGTCCTAAATTAACTAGGGTTTTAAATATGAAAAGTTGTTGGTCGAACCGTTGTTATCGGAGGCTTTACTGTATACCTGTTTTGAATCAACTGACATGTCAGGTCTTGTCTTGCTTTCATGCCTCCCCCTGGAAAAAATTCTGTGGATGCCCATGTACATAACACTTCTGCTCTGGTAACAGTCAACATCCAAATCTTTAGTATATAGGTAGTTACATAACTCTTCACTCCTGTTAACAGCCAGCATCCAAATCTTTAGCAAAGGATCAGTTTAAGCCACGTTATTAAAACAGGAAGTCTTACCAGATCCGTTGTAAGGTTGCCAACTGGCTGCAACTGGGTCCCAATAGTACTGATACGTAGGGTCAAAAATTGGAGTCAGGTAAGGATCATGACCAAGTAGACGGCACCGGTCTACATGCATGGCCCACATCTCTTCTTGCATTTTCCGTTGCTTGGCTTCTTCTTCCTCCTGTTGAACCTAAGGTACAACAATTACATGTTAACTTCATTCAATTAAAATCGTAAAATATAAAACTTATTCTGAAATCCCATGTTACAACCATAATATCCTGCTAAGTCTACTGGGTAAACACACAAAATACCCAACAAAAATGTGCGGCAGTTACCGGTATACAGTAAAGATACCTTCTTTTTGCAACCATAGCCTTTAATATGGGTACTAGAAGCAAAAATTTTAATTTAAGGCTGGAGGCTAATGTGTTGAGTTTTTGTGATATCATACCAGCAGTGCACACTTTGCTGGAGGAAGGAGGGACCTGAGGTGCTTTGTTAAGGTTCAGTCATGAATGGGGTTTCAAAACTGATCTTCCATTTATGACTTGTCCAAAGCAACTTGTGTTAGTGAAACCAGTAAATAAAGAGGAATAAAACGTTGTTAGAAAATACTTGAAAGATAATTCCAATTTAAGAAATTACAGTAAAAGACCACAAAACCTTGGGAAAAAGAACCATAAAAACAGGTATGCACAATATTTTATATGCAAATTTATCACATACATAAAATATACTTATGTTCCAAACTTACACCACTAAACCTAAAATCTACAATGAACATAACATATACCCTGTATACTCATTTATCCTCAAAGGTCGCAGATGTAAAACTACCAACCGTTCAGAAACAGGTCGGGTAATATTGTTCAGAAAGTCTCGCATCACATCGACCCCTTGGCTAACGATACTTTTTGGGGTCAGTGAACATTTAATGCTTATTGATGTGTGTGTACATGTGTTTGTACAGTATGTGTTAGTGTCTGTTTGTATACATACTGTACAGGTATCAACCCACTTAGACAATTCCCACATGTACGATTATAGCTCAAAATCGTCCATACATCACAAATTCTATTAGAAATACTGTGTTTATTATAGGAATAAATTATGAAATATATTAAGATGAATAAATTATAGGGATAAAATATGAATTATATTAGGATTAACAAACGAAAAATATTATTTTTAATTTTATTTTAATTATTATTGTGAATATGATTATTTTAATTATTATTACTGTAATTGTTATTTATCTAAGAATTAAATGTTATTAATTTGTATTCAAATATTTCATGTTATACATGTATTTGCATTCATGAAAATATTAAGTATTTGTAGATCCTGTCAGTAAGTCAACTTGACAAGCTTAATATTCACATGAACTGTGGTCAGGTGACCTCATAATAGCATGAAGGTTAAATCAGGTGGAAATAGTGGGGTCATTTAGTTAGGTCATGGCTTTGGGAGGAAACAGTCTTTAATCTTTATAATAAAACATTTTGAGTATAAATTATGTCATATTTTGTTATTCCTATTATTCATATTATATTCCCATAATTCAGGCATCCTAACATAATTCATAATATATTCCTATAAGAAAAACAGTATTTCTAATAGAATTTGTTATGTATGGATGATATTTAGCTATAATCCTACATTTGGGAATCGTCTTCATAGTACTGTTTTATTTTATGACAAATATAGGCTGAAATATCTGGCTAAACATACATTTATCCCAGCAAATATTTGTTAATTATTGAATAAAACTATGGCGGTGCGGAATGAGGTGTAAAATTCCATAACTTTTTAAAATTTGGGCTAGCCACAACTACAAAAACTGAAAGTTTGTATCGGTCAAATCTGAGGTCTGGATCCAGTCACGGAAGGATTTCCCTATGTTCTACAACATGACACAAAAGGGTGCAGATTCTTTTATTCCTGGGGTAGAAACCCAATATCCCCCCCCACCCTCAAACCATTAGCTAAAACAAAATTTTCTATCATTCTATTTTATATCACATAAAGGAATTAATTTTAAAAACCTCAGGGTAGACACCTGTGCCTGGAATAAAGAATGTTCTTATAAGTTGAGTAACTGATTAAGAAATCAAGTTCTCCACTAAATACAGCCCAGGTAGGTTGACCCCCCATAAATCTACAAGCCGGTACAACTACAATTAAGTAGCTAACAAACATAAATAAACCTTACCAAATGACATAAAAAAGGGCAAAAGAACATGGCTCACCATAAAACTAACACCAAGATTTGTTTGACTTAGCAAAATACCCCTAGTGCTGAATAAACTACAGTATGTGTACCAGTGTGCACTTCTCTATATCTCTCTACCTGGAAACTGCTGGAAGACTCAGTTCTAATCTAAAATGAGGTACAGTTCTAACTGAACAGTCAGTCCTGTAATGTTAACAATACCAGAGTCAGAAGTGATAAGTGAAATGTCTAATGCTGGCTACATTAAGACTTTTAAGCCCCCAGCATTGAGTAGCAATGTTTGTTTCTATTATCCCCATTATGGTTGTGTTAGGAAGGTATAACTAACCCATAGGGATTGTGGGTACTTTAAGCCTGGCACTTTGGACATATATTAGGTCACAAAAATACTATACTTTTAAAAATGTGAAACACTTAATTCTTTTTAAATATATGCAGTACTACACTGACTTCAATCAAATGATACTTATTTGGTGTCCAAGTCTGGGTGTGGCACTAAGTCTAACAAAAGGTTGCTGTGTTACTGAATAAGATATTATAATACAAAACAAAATCAAAATTTCTTATAAATATGATTTAAAGGAGTGAAAGTGAAAAAGCACAAAACAACAAGTGTAAAAGTTGTACTATCAGAGAAAAGGGAACAATAGGAGGCAAGGTGCTCTAGAGTAAAATGTAAATAAGAAACCTATAAACAGGGAAAAAATTACATACAAATTTAAGATTAGTCTGGAAAGTAGAAGTGTAAATCTTTGTGTCTAGTCCTAATTCAGAGTGTGAATCTCAATACAAGAGTGAACAAAACAGCTAATAGGCTAAATTCTTACCTTCATGGCGAACAATTGTCTTCTCTGCTCTTTCGACATCTTTGGTGAATCAGACGACCTGTCTTCTCTGTCGTTTCTACCTCCACCTCGGCGATGACGCTCTCTGTCTCGATCAGGGGATCGTCGCCGTCGATCATAATACGAATCCCGTCTGTTGTACCTAAGAGACAGAATGCCACATCTACATAAGCATTAATAACATGGATTTGGAAAACATTCATAAACTTTTCATAATAATGTTTTAACAGATATTGTTATAGAGTAAAAAAGCAATACAGAAAAGAGAAAGGTAATTTAAAAGTGCTTGTAATTCTTCCTTCAAACAGTTTAGGACTGACTACAAACATTTATGACAAATGGTTAATTGAAATACAGTACAGTAAAAGTAATGAGTAATGAGAAATGGATACAGTACAGTGAAAGTAATATATAATAAGGAATGGTTACAGTGTGACTGAGCACTTACCTTTAATGTAGTCAGCTGAATGCACATGGGGCCCCCATAATTTTCTAATTATACATGGAGACTACATTAACTGGAAACGTTTCGGTATAGAAAATGTGTGTCATTTGAAGAAAAATTTTTTTTTTTTTTAATAAAAAATCTGCAGCGGTTGTAAGTCCCGACAGTCGTAAGTCGTAGCAGTCGTAAGTCGGGGTCTGTCTGTATACGTATATATATGTACGTATATATATATACGTATATACTGTATATATACGTATATATATATATATATATATATATATATATATATATATATATATATATATATATATACGTATATATATATACGTATATATATATACGTATATATATATAATAATAATAATAATAATAATAATAATTAACGGTTTATTGAAAAAGTTCTGCAGCCCGAAGGCTGAAAATATACATTGGACATAAATGACTTATTACATACATTGGTGGTTTAACAAAAGCCTTCATTAGAGAAAGGTAAAGGAACATACAGTGAACATACAGATTATTGTAGGTGTTGAACAGCAAACTCGTAGTGTAGTAACTCCCTCCCAGATGGTGTTAGGAGGGACCTCACGTGGTGTAGTAGTTCCCTCAGATGGTATTATGAGGGATCTGGCGTGGTGTAGTAATTCCCTCGCAGATGGTGTTATGAGGGGCCTCACGTGGTGTAGTAATTCCCTCACAGATGGTGTTATGCGGGGCCTCACGTGGTGTAGTAATTCCCTCACAGATGGTGTTATCGCGAGGGGCCTCACGTGGTGTGTGTTCCTCACAGATGGTGTTATGAGGGGACCTGGCGTGGTGTAGTAATTCCCTCACAGATGGTATTATGAGGGCCTCCGTGGTGTAGTATCTCCTTCACATACATGGTGTTATGAGGGACCTGGCGTGGTGTGTGTTCCCTCACAGATGGTGTTATAAGGGGCCTCACGTGGTGTAGTAATTCCCTCACAGATGGTGTTATGAGGGGCCTCACGTGGTGTAGTAATTCCCTCACAGATGGTGTTATGAGGGGCCTCACGTGATGTAGTAACTCCTTCACATATGGTGTTATGAGGGGTCTCACGTGGTGTAGTAATTCCCTCACAGATGGTATTATATGAGTGAGGTGTGGTTCCAGGCCTTCCTATCGTAGACGGATTAACACATGGCTGGTTGTTGAGTCTCACAGGCCGTTATCACTGGGTACCTGGGACCTCACTGTGTATATGTATATATATATATATATATATATATATATATATATATATATATATATATATATATATATATATATATATATATATATATATATATATATATATATATATATATATATATATATATATATATATATATATATATATATATATATATATATATATATATATATATATATATATATATATATATATATATATATATATATATATATATATATATATATATATATATATATATATACCTAGACCCGACTTGACCGTGGGACCGACCGCCTCAGATATAGATAAAAAAAAATTTAAATGACACGCATTTTCTATACCGAAACGTTTCCAGTTAATGTAGTCTCCATGTATAATTAGAAAATTATGGGAGCCCCATGTGCATTCAGCTGACTACATTAAAGGTTAAGTGCTCAGTCACACTGTATCCATTCCTTATTATTTATTACTTTCACTGTACTGTATCCATACATCATTATTCATTACTTTTACTGTACTGTATTTCATTGTTGATTTTTACTTTATATATATATATATATATATATATATATATATATATATATATATATATATATATATATATATATATATATATATATATATATATATATATATATATATATATATACATATATATATATATATATATATATATATATATATATATATATATATATATATATATATATATATATATATATATATATATATATATATATATATATATATTTTTTTTTTTTTTTTTTTTTTTTTTGTGATTATTATTATTATTATTATTATTATTATTATTATTATTATTATTATTATTATTATTATTATTTTTCTTTTTTAACCAATAGTTGAAAATTTGTATTTCAGGCATAAAGTTAGTGCAGTCACTCCAAGCACACTGGTGTGGCTGGCGTGCACTTGGTCCTCTATGTCCACGGACACCACGTGCAGCCATCATGATAGCTGGTGGGTAACTGGACCACTAGACTGAGACAATGATTATGTATGAATTGAGTTGCCAAGTAAATAAACATCCTACACAAAGTACTTCATAGAGGAACGTCACCCGGGGTTGCTATGGTGAACGTGGAGGAATGTCGCCCAACCTTTAAGGGTTAAACTATCAATTTATATCAAAACTAATAGTCCAACCTTTTAAAGAGCAGCAATCTCAAAATTTACAAACACAGGTAAATTGAAAGAACATAAGATAAACTTCTCAACAGTTATGAAACTCACATCAAAGTCCTTCGCATTAATTATGACACAAAAATTAATAGGTTTCTCACCTGTCTTTATCCCTTCTGTCACGATCATCATCTTGTTCTCTGTCAAGGTATTCCTTGTAACCTTGGTCCACTTCACGCTCGTGTTCTTTCATCAACTCAATGCGCTCCTTCTTGGGGATACGGAAAAACTCCTTAAGATTTTTCCAAGCATCTAACAACTTAAGAGCAAGGGCAACCATCGTCCTATGAAGTTCTAGCATTTCTTGAGCTTCTTTCTCTTTACTTTGGTCAACCACTGCTTCATCGTCTTCTCCTGGCTCAACAGCAGATCGTTTCCCTTCTTCCTTCCCCCTTATAGTGGGGTGTTCTTTCCCATCACTTTGACTTGAGTCACTACTTTCTTCTTCTGCCATGGTACCTTCTACCATTTTTTTAGCACTCAGAGCTGGTTGTTCAACTTCTGAGTCTAAACTGCTGTCATCTGCACTTGATCCCTCTACACAATTTGATATTGCTTTGGTGTCCATTTCTAAGTCTGACTCTTCACTGGTATCACTGTGTGGGAGAAAAAAAATTGTATAAATTGTATACATACTGTACATGCATGGGTGCACACACACATATACAGGTCACCCTTGTTAATGTTAGTTTTGAAAAACAAACTTGCACATACAGAATGATGTTTACTGGTAATTTTTACTACCCCAAATTTAGTTTATATTTGGCTATGGTTTGCAGAACAGGTGTGGATCTGAATCACTTCTTTTGTTCCTCCTGTGTGTAGTGCACCGTTAAAAAAATATCTTGTGTATGGTACCAAAATAAAGCTGGAGCACTGTCCACACCTCTACCTTGTACTGTATTGTCTGGTATTTCCATAATTACTAGTATTGTTATTAGCAAAATGATGTCCTGTAGTTAAAATTCCATTACATCTGAGAATACATCTATTATTATTATATATATAAAACAAAGAAGTCTGACTGTTTTTCTGTGTGTCCGCACGAGAATCTTGGAACTACTTTACCGATCTGTAGTGCTGATGGATGGTGTTATATGTAGTGATGATGGGTGGTGTTATATGTAGTGATGATGGATGGTGTTATATGTAGTGATGATGGGTGGTGTTATATGTAGTGATGATGGATGGTGTTATATGTAGTGATGATGGGTGGTGTTATATGTAGTAATGATGGGTGGTGTTATATGTAGTGATGATGGATGGTGTTTATATGTAGTGATGATGGATGGTGTTATATGTAATGATGATGGGTGGTGTTATATGTAGTGATGATGGATGGTGTTATATGTAGTGATGATGGATGATGTTATATATAGTGATGATAGGTGGTGTTTTATGTAGTGATGATGGATGATGTTATATGTAGTGATGATGGATGGTGTTATATGTAGTGATGATGGATGATGTTATATGTAGTGATGATTGATGTTGTTATATGCAGTGATGATGGATGTTGTTATATGTAGTGATGATGGATGGTGTTATATGTAGTGATGATGGATGATGTTATATGTAGTGATGATGGATGATGTTATATGTAGTGATGATGGATGGTGTTATATGTAGTGATGATGGATGGTGTTATATGTGATGATGATGTTATATGGTGATGATGGATGTTATATGTAGTGATGATGGATGGTGTTATATGTAGTGATGATGGATGGTGTTATATGTAGTGATGATGGATGGTGTTATATGTAGTGATGATGGGTGGTGTTATATGTAGTGATGATGGATGGTGTTATATGTAGTGATGATGGATGATGTTATATATAGAATATGAAAAGTATCCCTCTGTTGTCATTGGCAATATGGATAAGAAATGTGAATACTACGGTGCAAAGAAGTACTTAGGAGAATCTGCTGGACTGTGCTGCTCTCATGGGAAAGTACGACTGCCAAATTTGGAAAAACCACCACAACCATTGAAGACTCTCATGCTGGGAACAACACCAGAGTCAAAACACTTCTTGGAAAATATACGGAAGTACAATTCATGCTTCCAGATGACATCCTTTGGAGCTACCAGAGTAGTTCGTGAGCACGGATACATGCCCACATTCAAAGTCCAGGGTCAAGTCTATCACAAAGCAGGATCCCTCTTACCACTGGAAGATGAGCAGGCAAAGTTCCTCCAAATCTACTTCATGGGAGATCATGAAAAGCAGACTACTATCAGGTGTGGCAACATTCAAGGTTTCAGACATGACATTGTCCTATTTATCTAAGAAATGCTGCATGAGCGCAACATGTATGTACAGTCATTTAAAAATGCCCTGGAAAACATGCCTTCTGACTAGTACAAATTCAGGATCAAAGCGAAAGAGCGTGATTCCGCTAGTTGTATATAAATTTAAATAAAACAGTAAAATCTAACAAACAAAAACAGGATAAATATTCTACCCACACGTGTTACAGAAATTGATGTAACATAATGTTGAATAAACTTATTAACAATAAAATGGTTTGGAGGGAAGAAACTATATAGTAGTGTATACTGGTTTTTGGTCACAGAACAAAGAAGAAAAGTGTCACAGTAGAAGTTATATTGGATGTGGTAAAGAGATTTGAAGAAGGACATTAAGTTGTGGACATAGCAAGTGCTGTCAGTTTGCAGCCTACAACTGTACGAACAATTTGTAAAAATGCAGAAAATATAAAATCATGTGCTAAAAGTGTTACTCCATTATTGTATCTTGAACTTTGTAATTACTACATTGAATCGGGGGTGCTTGAGGACATTCTTGCTGTTTATCCCAAATTTGCTGCTAGCCCACACTGATTAGTCTTCAATTAGAATATGACTCCAATGTATGTGAACCAATGACCTATATACAGTAAACTGCTAATGAACATGATGTATTTCTTTCTTTGTGTATGAACCTCTGTCCTGCATGGCAGTGAACAGTGACATTACCTACATGAATCTGACCTCTATACATATACTATAGCTGTTAATGAATATAATGTATTTCTTTGTGTATGAACCTCCTGTGTGGCAGTGAGAAGTGATACCACCCTCAGTGTCAAGACCTGACTGAATTACTCAGAATAGGCAAACTGTACTACAAGCTTTGCCAATAAATTTGTTAAACTAAATTAAAACTCTATTATCTGCTGCAAAGTTAACTCATAACAGAAGTGACATTATGGAAAATATGGAAAGAACGCTGAACATTTGGATCGAGGATCACCATCAACAAAACTTTCCATATTCGTTGCTTTCCATATACTAGGCAAAAGCTCTAGTTTATTTGAAACTTTAAAACAAGAAGGTGATAGTGCTGAAAGTGAAACATTTGTGGCAAGTCATGAGAAAATTTTGACCAGAAATGTACCCAAGGAACATAACCCCTATTTATATCATTGTGTTTATGGTATAATCATTTTCACTTAATGTCGTTTCACTTAAAGTCGTAGTTTTCAGGAACCTAAAAAAGACGTTAAAGGGGGAATTGGTGCATTTTCATCTTGTTAGTAGTTTATTAATGTTTTTAATGCATTAAGTAGTAAATTATGTAATTGGATACCATTTTTCATTAGTTGGGTAGGTTTTTGTTGGTTTTTGTTCATCAACTGATTTCATGTTTTGGGGGATATAGTCCTGAGGTTTTCTTGTCGTTGGGGAACTGAAGCCCATTTTCCCGATTTGTTCGTTATTCAAGATGTGAAAATTCACTTAACGAACAGTTTTCCAGGAACCTAACCCATTTGTTAAGCGAGGGATACCTATACTAAAAATATGAGCTGTAAGAAGTGGCACAGTGTTAGATGATCACTGTGGCATGATATTACACCCCAGGTCACTTGTACAGGAAAAATTTTGGATATGGCTGAGAAAGTAACCTCTCTTTTACTATGGATACCCATTTTCATTTATAATGGTCATCATTAGGAACACAACCAAATTAATGAGGGCAACCTTTATTGGTGGTTAATTATGTCAAGGAAACCATTGGCCTAAGAGACAAAAATGGAGGTTGTACAGGGAAAACTTGGTTAATTTTCTCTAACTGCACTTGGGTACTGTTTTCTCCAATTGCCCCTTGCGATCTTTTATAATGTTGAATTCTAAATTGTGCATTATTATAATACCTGTACACAATACTAAAGAAATTCATGTTCAGGCAGCATTCCAACATGACATTAGTGATATGGGATATGAAATCCAAAGATAAATTGTTAGCATACTAATAGTTACAATTCTAGAATTTTAGATATGGAAATGACAAATTATTCCACATTCCCTCCCTCTAGCTGCTCTTTAAGTTTTTCTTCACAACAGCGACAGTACTACGCATACTAACATAACATGTTAGTTTTAACATCTTTTGAAATATAAAATATAAATTTTTTTTTAGTTCATATTCAGGAAAGGTCATTTCAAGTCTGTGTTTTCTTGGCCAATACATCATTTTAATATTATTTCTATACGCGAGTCTGTCCTTTTATCAAAATCTTCTAATTTTAGCATTTTACATGCATGCATGCACACACACACAAACACAATTTTGATTCTAACCTTGCTTTTTTGTTGACTTCAGAATCTGAAGACAAAGAAGCTGCCCCAAGATGTTCTAACTTTGGTGGTGGGGGAGGAGGTGGTGACTGTGTGGAGGATGTATCAAATGCCTGGATACTCCAGCGCTCTACTAGTGCCAGTACCCGGCTGTCTGTTAGCTGCGTCTTATTAGTTATAGGTAGACATTCCAATGTTTTCAGAATCTAAAAAGTGGGGGAAATAAAAGTTACCATTAGCTCTATTTTGTATAGAAAAATAATTATGGATTGAATTTGCTTCTATAATCAATACAGTGCTTCTTCCTACATTTCTGTCAATAAACATGCTATAAATAATTATAGATTATGAATAGACTAATAACAAAGATTTTAACTTCTTTCATTCAAATTATAGTCATATGTGAAGGATGTTTTCTGATGTGGAGTGATATTTCTACACCTGTTTCTATGTCTCTTCATATTACACTACAAACAAAAGAAGCTAGGGTGTTAACTTTCACATACAGCTTAAGGCTATTAAAATTATTATGTTTAGCTGCACATTATATCCATCTATCCACTACATCTCTTTTTAATAGTATAGTATACAGATTAAGTGCATAGGTCTTTGTCATTCACTATGCTGGTCTACATGCACCAAAAGAGGGAATTTCCTTCATTTCCCAACAAGGGATTCTGTTCGTAAATTGAACAATGGCATGATATCAAATTACCAACCTCAATTTTCAAAGAAGTATGTTCAAGAGAGAATCCCAAGTCTGCCATCCATGACCAGAGAACCTTCAGACCATGATAATCAAGGAACAGTCTTCGACAGGCTGGTTCACCAGTCTGAAGCAAATCTAATAGCATGACGCGTGAATCGAAATCCTCAGCACGAACCATTAATCGAGACAGATTGAGTGTGTCCTGGCGGTTCCTTAACTTGTGAGAATTAAGCTTTTCTATCTCATCTTCGAGCTGAAATGAAGAAACATTTGGTAACATGAAGGAAAATGTTTACATAAAAAACAAAACATCTAATTTAATCCTATCTATAATTGCACACATCTACAACACCTGCCAATATCTAGACTCAGCCACTGGTTTCTTTTTACATCAACTTAAAATAATAAATAAATAAATAAATACATAAATAAATAAATAAATAAATAAAAATGCATCAATAATCAAAACATCATGAAGGTAGGTTGAGCGATTACAAAGAAGCCCGGGTCATTTGGATCACTACTGGGTCAAATGGATTTAGTTTTCTGTACACCATATCCAAGTTACTACCTCCCTCAAAATTTCTTTACTACTGGTCAAAAGGTTTCAGATACAGGTATATGCTTTGGATTAATTTTACCTACAAGATGATGCAACAAAGTACAGTAATAATTAATCAATTGACAGTAGCAGTAATAGTAATACCACAACTTCTGATAATAATGATACCTTCAATTATTGTACTCACATCAATATCCTCAAAGTATGATCTTCTCTCCTCTCTCTTCCTTCTGTCTCTCTCTTCCTTCCTCCTTTCTTCATCCTTTTCTTCCTTAGTCTTCTCCTCTGGAGACTCACCCAACCAGCCACGGCAGACTGGAGTACCACAGTAACATTTTTGTGGTTCCCTCCTACAGTTGGGTACAGAGGACTTGTTTTGGCATGAAAATATTTTTTGAAATAACTTGCTAAAAGCATTTCAGTTTAATGTCAAGATCAAGGGATAAAACTGTTCATGAAGGACTTCTAGAAAAACACTAATCAGGTGAGCTGGCTTATCTAAAGTAAATTTAAAGAGGTAAAAACACTTTCTCTAAACTTTATAGTCTTGTTTGTAATTTAAATGAACAACACTGGAAAAATTCAGGATCATGTGATAAGATATAAAGCTGACAATAACCTCAACATTTGTCTGAATTACTTTAGGGCAACATGCACAGTAGGAATTTTTCAAGATTAATCTTAGTAAAAATATTAAAAAGGGAAATTAAAAATCACTAACAGAAAGAAACCGAAAAATTACAAAGCAAAAGGGTTTCAAAAGGAGTGAACTGTGAGAATGAATATAATGAGGGAAAAATATATAACACAGTTTTCATACCCATATCTCTCCAAGCGGTAATCAAAGCTGATCTCTTCATTGGCTTCGATATACTTTTTTGAGAAAAACCCAATTCGTAACTCCCCATTTACAGTCCACTGTAGAGAAATAGGAAAAATCTTTAAGGACAATAACATTATTTACCTATTGCACACATTCTATTTTCAACTATACACTGCATAGTATGTGTACCGGGCAAAGAATATTAAGGATATTATACCATTACTTTATAAGGCAGAGATAAATTAAGCTCAACTAAATCCATTCATCCTCCATTCACACAAAATGAGACAAAATACTTTTAAACAACTCCCAGCAAATTTTAGATGATTTTGGTAAATTCTCAGCAAAGGAGCACAATATGGCCAAAAAGCCACAAAACTCCCATGACTCAGAGCTGAATGGTTTCACCCAGCGTATATCCTGAATGGTATTTTCATTTAACCCAACATGTGCCCTTTGTGGTGTACTTAATCATTCTAGTATAACTCCTCCTTGGTATATTTAATGAACCCATAAAAAATTTGTCTGGTATAATCACCCCAATTTAACTCATGTGGGATGTATTTAATTACCCAGCATAATTCCAATTGTGATACAAGTATATCCTGTACACTAAGGTCCCATTGACCGATACCTCGCGACAGTTTCACTGACTACCCCATTGATCCCACTTTGTGTGTTACGTGTGCTATGCAATCATGCCTAAACGCACCTAGCATTTTTAAGTAGAATGTGTTTTGTCATTAATGGGGATAGAGTACCGTGGTATAATCAGGTTTGATATACTGTACTGTAGGCCTTACGAGAGCTAACAGGTACAAGAGATGTTCATGTGTCAAAGTGCTGGATGTTGCCACTTCACCAGTTTGTTTTTATTTACAGTGCATGTATTCATTATTATGTTCCTGTGTGATCAGCCTATTATGGTGTATGTTTCATCATAAATATAACATAGTATTAAATAACAGAACAAAATATGATACAGTGGTGAAGGTTGGGACCAGCCATGCCACATTTGCCAGATTGTTTTTATTTCATCACATTCTCGTATGATCAGCCTCTTATGGCTCATGTTTCTTCACAAATAATAGAATATATTAAATAGAAAAAGTACAATACAGTATATAGCTCCTCCCCAACTTACGACGGGGTTAGGGACCCAAATTCAGGTCGTAAGTCGAAATGGTCTAAGTCGAAAATGCTTAAATAATACATAGAAAATCGAAAACGGGTGTTTCTTTTTCTTCTCAGCACCACAAAACTCTCGATTTTAAGCTTGCCAGCCATTTTAAAGTAAATTACAAACAAAAATTTTGTCTGTGTACTGACGTTGGGACTCGAAAATACGTAAAATTTTGGTATGACTGAAGCAGGTCGTAAGTGCGGGTGGTCGTAAGTCGGGGAAGAGCTGCATAACTTGTAATTTGACTTCAAAATTACAAGCTGTATAAGACGGTAATTTCTTCCCTGATCACTCTTCCCCCCGCTGAATGCCATCAAGGCCAACTTTCAACCTCAACATTACTGACTTATTATTATTATTATATTCTACAATGATCAAGCCTCAAATGACACACGAATTTACTGCTGGGTTTCACTTTCTTTTTTCCCCATGAATTCAATTTTGAGCTAAGGGCATCCACACATCCATTACAACAGTGGTAGCCAGATGGACCATACATGCATACATACATACTGTACTGTACATACATACCTTGGTTATGCATAGTCTGGGTAACCAGCAGATACAACTAACAGGCACCAAAATGAAATAATAAAAATAAAAATTCCTCCAAAATCAGCTAGAATCGTAAGTTTGAATACAGCACGCAATGGGGATGAACTGCAAAAGAAAGTCTCTCTCTCTCTCTCTCTAGGATATTTTGCATTAAGTCTTACAAACCAACTCCTAATTACATAGTTTCCTCAAGCCGGCTTACCATCGCCTGTAGTTTTTTCAATACCACATCTCCATAATCCAAACCTGCAATGTATTTGTTTTCTACCCATTTGATTCCTTCTCTTATTGCCAATTGTTTCTTTCATTACGAACAGTGGAGACAAAACATTACCCTGTAAGACACCACTCTCCACGGTGAATTCAGAGGAGAGTTGGCCATCCACATTTACACGGCACCTGCTGCCATTACATATTGCTTCTGTCATCTGAACATACTAGTCTGGTAGTCCATAATATCGTAGTACCTTCCATACCATTGATCGATATATACTGTCACATACCTTTTTGAAATCAACAAAAGCCATAATCAGTGAGTGGTCTTCTAAATTCCATACTGTGCTGTATTGTATTAAGTAACGTAACACAAACATCCGATCACTCCAACCTCTTGCTCTTTTAAGCCCTGCTTGTTCGTCTCTTAAGCACATAAACAGTAGGCGAAACCTAATAACTTTCTTTGAGTTGACGATGCTGGAGTTGGTAAGGAACCCAATGATCATTTCTGAATGCCACAGTAACATGATGGTGCAGTTTAAGTAAAAGTGGAGTCGCTGTAAGGCAAAAAACACTAACACCAAGCTGGTTTAGACAAAACAAATGACTGGTAACAAATTAAGATATTCTTTGTCTGGTTAAAATAGGCAGAGTTTAGAGGTTTCTGAAGTTTGGAGACATGAAAATCAATTCACTACCTGCACTCTAATACTGTACGTATTTATACAAAGGTAGTATAAAAAATGCTTACCATAAATTTCAGTTTAGTGTAATATAGGCTTATCAAGAAATAAATACACAGTACTGTACTGTAGTCAAAATAATTCTGAATTCATTAAGTTTCAACTAAAACACAGGAAAATCTAAATTTGCATCACATACCTTCTGAGTCTCTGCATTAGGATCACATGAATGGTTGATGAACCTTGATATGTTGCCTTTTCGAGTTGCATCTATGAGTTGGTCAGACTTGAGAGCCATGAAGTAGAAATGAGCATTGTGATCACGTGCATATTCCTTTCTGCGTCTCTTGAATTCCCGTGTGTCAAACACTTCCCCAACATATTCCATGATGAAACTTCCCCTGAAGGAAGAGAAGAAACAGTTGTATTAAAGACACTTTGTAATTGATTAATCATAATCAAATAAAATCATCATATGTTCAAGTGAGGAAGGTGCTTTTTAGGGCATGTGCCATGATCCTCAGTGTTAATAGCATCAACAATACAGGTACTGTAAAGATAAATCAAGTAATTAAGACTTGGGTACGGCAAAGACCACTGGTTGAAACTACCGAGTAGTTCAATCTTCACCCATGTTAATTAGAGATGGTAAGAAGGGAAAACATTATTGTTGATAGAGATGGTAAGAAAGGAAAAACATTTTTATTAATTCCAATACACTAAAAACTTTATCAGTTAAGAACCTAATATTTTGCATTAATGGAGCCTAATGTTACAGAAAGATGCGACACGATCCTGACAGTTACCAGGCATCACTTAGTCACGCCATGGCACTCACTGTGTTTGTGTTTGTTGTGTTTGTGGGTTGTGTTTGTGTTGTTCGTCAGTGGTGGGTAACAGTTTTCACTCAGTCATGCCACGGAGCTCGCAACAAACACAAACACAACCAACAAATGCACTGAGTGCCTTGGAGTGACTGAGTGAAAACTGTTAAAATACCACTGACGGGTTATGTGATAGATCACGTGACACCTGATAACTCCAAGGATCATGACACATCTTTCTGTAACATAAGGCTACATTTACGCAAAATATTAGGTTGCTAGCCCATACCAAAAATGGTGTACGGGAATTATTTAGGTCCCCGGAACTCTCCAATAGCCGGAATGAGTTTCCGAGGATGAATATCACTCATATTTTCCTAAAAAAAATATTCCAGAATATTTCTCCAGACTTTTCTGTTTCAGGCCTGGGAACAAATTTTGAGGATGAAATAATGCGTAATTTACGTAAAAATTTCCGAGGAAATCTCTCTAAACCTTTCTTCTCCAGGACTGAGGACAAAGGTTCTGGGAGTTCCAAAAGATTGCATCATGCTCTACAGCACCCCCACATGCTAGGTGTGTGGGATGGCTAGATACTGTACTTGGGTAACTTGAAGGCTTAATTCATATTCTGCTGCCATTGTAGAAGATTGCCCTCTTGCTAGCTGCTTTGTTTGCATACAATTTGTGTTGTGCTACTGTACATTACTGTACCAGGACACAATCAGCCAAGAAGTGTAAAAGCAGTGCTAAGTCGTAAACAGTGATTACAGTGTACATATACTGTAAATTTACCTTCAGTAAGTGTAAGTACTGTACATATGGTACTGTACATAGAAGAGTGGCCAGTGTTTGCATACTGTAGCCTAGTGCATAGTGTTTGTGTGTACAAGTATCCTTTGCTATACAAACGTTCAAGATACGAACATTCGAAATATGAATCTTCGCTTATACGAATTTCCTAAATTGACACTACTATTTGAAGATGAGAAAGCTTCCCCTGCTTTCATGAATTTGGGTCTTGGCAAAAATTCAAATCACGTGCCCCAGGAGTCAGCTGGGGCGGCCATCTTGGGTTGAGATGTGCAGATACGTACTCTCGCTCACTGATCATACCCCCTCTCTTACGCATCTCCCACAAACCAGCGTCCTCGCTTCTGCCACTCGTTGTGTGTTAGAAGTGATCTCTCTTTATCTGTGTGTATTTGTGCCATCATTTCATTATGGCATCCAAGCGTTCTGCTGTATCTTTGGCTACCAATACTACATCGATGAAAATACAAAAGGCTACTTGCCTTAATACGAAGTGCACACGAATCAGAGTAATAGACCTGTAATTACAGTACTAGTTTGATATCCGGGTAGTGACTGCCAGAGACGTGCTATATTTTAATGGAGTATGGCAAATATTAAGTGAAATACAGTGATCCCTCGGTTAACGAACGGTTCGATTAACGAAATTTCGGTTAACGAATTAGTTCCCATAAGGATTTTCAGTTTGATTAATGAGAAAAACTTTGATTAACGAAACCCTCACAACAAACACATTTTGTTGTGCGCATCAGCAGATCAGCTGATCGGCTTGTCCGCCAATACAGTAATTGGTTCTATGTTTACATTCTTTTCCAGTGAAGTAAATATCAAGAAAGTAGGTCTCTTGAATATTTCTACAGTTTTTATATTAAAATTATTGGTCATTCTGAAATTTAGTTTACATATTGATAATATTAACAGTACAGGGAACAGTTTTTGTGCACCCATCAGCTGATTGAATCACCCAACAACACTTCTCAGTTTAACTTTGTTTACAGTGGAGTGAACATCGATTTTGTTGGTCTCTTGAATATTTTTGCATTTTTACATTAAATTTATTGGTCATTCTGAAATTTAGTTAACATATTGATAATATACAGTGCAGAAATTATTATGGAACATGAAGAAGGCATTTGAACCAATGCACTCTGTAAAGAATATGGAGTCATCATCGACTGCCTCTACAATCAGCTGTTTGATATGTAAACAAAGCTGCCGGAAATACGACATAAACACCTCAAAGTAAGTTAAAATACAGTAAAAGTCCAAAAATGCGGATGCCAGAAATCAGGACCACCCAAGAATCCGGACTTTTCGAAAACTTTTTTTTTTTTTTTAGCTGGCTTTTGTGTATGTGCGCATGCGTGAGCGCCACAGCTGCACAGCGACAACAAGCGACCACGCAGTCACCACTTTAAAACGAGCAATCAAACTGTGACAACATATGTAATTTTGAGTCCTACTCTTTCCATTTACAGAGCCCATAATAATGGCTCCTAAAGTAGATAAACTTTGTTGTGTGAAGAGAAAGAAGAACACATTGAAATTGAGTGAAAAATTTTTAAATAATTAAAATAGAACGTGGTGTGAGCAATACTGTTCTAATGGAAACATACAACATTGGAAAGTCTACAATTTATGATATAAAAAAGGTAAAGAATAAAATTCTAGAATTCACAGCTTTTTCTTTAAAACTGCTCGTTTTGAGAAATGAAGCATGCAATATTTGCTAATGAATAAACTATCAAAATGTATCTGTTCATCTCTTCTTTATTCCTCTTTAAATTTGAATTTTAAAAGTACTGCCTGAGAATCCGGAAAACCCGGACCGACCCAATCCCCGAGCAGTCCGGATTTTTGGACTTCTACTGTACAGTATTCTATTGTTTTTTATTTATTATTGTACAGTATACTGTACAGTACAGTACTGTATTTAGTTTATATTTCATGCTTTTTTTAATTCTATTATTGGTATACAGTACTTTATATGTACTTTTTCTGTGCGTTGGAACCAATTACCCAATATCCCATTGAAATAATAGATTCGGTTAACGAACGACTCTGAGGAATGAATTGTGTTTGTTAACCGAGGGACCACTGTACTAATTTTCCTACCCATAAAGTGAGACCCATTGGTCTTTGTATTTTGTACAAGTGCTAATGTAATGTTACCAAGCACTGACTGAACTTTAATTGTAATTTCTATAATTTGTGACTGATGGTTCAAGATGTCAATGTACTGTACTCGTATTTTCTTTTAATATATAAGCGTAATCTGTGTATCACCCTTTATTCCTTCTCATATTATTTGTCATGAAATATAACTGAAAATTCATGCACCTTGACCTCTGTGCCACCTACCAAGTTAAGTCAGAGGTTTTCTTGTTGGTGTTATATTATATTCTGATTAAAAATCTGGGTGGTGGCAGCATATAATTACTAACTAATGAAAAGATGGTGTACTAGTGTAAAATAAAATAGGTTTCCCAGATACTCCCACAGAACAAAATAAATGTACATAAATTGAACTAATGATAAAGTGAGGTGGAATTAATAATAATTAAAAATTTGCATCTTACAACTAAATAAATCTGCCCCTTACAGTGAGCCTAGTTTGCCCTCTTTTAAAATAGTGTACCAAAGATATACAGCATTTCATTAATATTTATCATATGTTAGGTAGTAAATTACAGTAGTTGTGTACTATTTATCATTAGTTAGGTAGGTTTTTTGTTGTTTGTGAACCAATTTTGGTTTTTGGGGAATGATATTGGGATACTTTAGTCATTGGGGAACTGAATTACATTGCCCATATGTTCTTATATTCATTATACAAAAATTCATTTAATGAATGGTTTTTCAGGAACCTAACCCATTTGTATATCGAGGGATACCTGTACTGTAGTATATATTGCACGTGTACAATGCCAAAAGCCAAAAAAAAAAAGTGACACCAAGGGATCGAGGAGAGGCCTAACGAAAAGACTGCTCATAAAGGAAAATTTAGTTATTCTGAAGAAACTGGAAGAGAAATGTACCTGGAGGAGTATGGAGTGGGCACGTCAACCGTCAATGAAGTGATATACAGTACAAAGGAAAGCTGAGGAGGCATGAACAGAAAGCTATGCCAGGCAAAGGTGGGGAAGGTAGCCTAATCCATATTCGTATATGAAAAAGTTGATGCTGCGGTGTATGACTGGTACAGCAACGAGCCATTGGTGTTCTTGTTCATAGCATTGAGCTCAGTGATGCCACACAGCGATTTACAACCTTACCGGAAATGCCTGACTTCTGTGGGAACTTTGGATGGCTCTATATATTCAACAGGAGGCACTGGATAAGCAACAGGCGAGTGACTGGCTAGTGCTAGTGCTGATGTGGCAAGTGTCCAGCCATTCAGAAACGAACTGCAACATATCATACATGACAATGACATACAAAAGTATGAAATCTACAATGCAGATGAGACAGGTCTTTATTGGAAGTCCCTGCCTAATAACACTGTTGCATCATGGTGGGAGCGCAGCACACCTTGGACTCAAGGCAAGCAAGCAATGTGTGTCAGTGTTCTTGTGTGCTAATGCTGCTGATATGCACAAAATCACACCTATGGTGACAGCAATACCCAGAAGCCTAGAATGGTGCACAATTCTATGAATAATTTTCCTGTGTCCTGGCATGGTAACAAAAAGACTGGGTTTACCCAGGAAATATTTGAAGGATGGTTTCCACCACACTTTTGTCAATGCTGTCAGACTGTTCCA